TAAATAACTAGGAAAACTAAGATAGATCCTTCCTCCTTAATGATATAAATTTTAGTATTAAAATAGTATCTACCTATATCAATTCATTGTCACAACTAATTATTATATTTTTGGGCTTACTCACGTAATTTTTTGACGAGGAACTCGCCGAAAAACATAATTAGGTATTAATTTAGTATGTCTTACCAAACTTATAATATAACAATATTCGCAACCACGACAGTAAAGCTATAAAGTAGACAACAGAAGACAAAAATTAATTTGCATAAAACTAGACCTACATAGACTAACTTTGTGATAGGACTATAACATCAGTAACCAAAACATCCCACTTGCGGACACAACGATTAAATAATGACTTGTTAATTGTTACCTCAACTTACACACCCGCATTAATTATGTGGGTAGTTATAAAAAGATTGATGATGTTCCAACGTCATTACCGTATCGCGGACTTGAGCATGACCTGTTCAACTGGCAAGACGTGCGCCAAACAGTGCGTATAGTAATTAATGAGCCTCACTGTTTATTTATTCGATTGCAAAAATATTTTTATTTAATAGAAGCTATCGTAATACCGCATGCGATAATCAAACTTATGGTTTGGTATCTGATCTAGGTAGTTATGTTAAGAATGTAGAGCTAAATTCTATTTAAAACTAACTACATGAATAGTTCCATAAACTAATATCGAAGTCGTGTACAAAGGTGGAAAAATTAAGTTCAATATTTATTCTAATTCGCCATTTTAGAAATCCCATGTACTGGGATTTACTTTTATATATATTATATAACTGTAATACATTTAAATCTGTTAAGCAAGCAATAAATCGTTTAAGCAGAACAACAAATTCCCCAAACGCCATCATAATCGTACAAACTTTAGCGCTTTTACGATCCTGGTTATTCCCAAAACGCTTGAATTAAGTGCTACAGAGATTTGAAACACGAAATCCATTACAGAAACAAATTAACAATGCATATACTTCATTGAGGCGATGCCAATTAAATGTAGACGATACAATATGAACAATTCTCTTCGGATAACAGATGGACAAAATGGACAGGTAAACTAAGGCCGGTTCCTTCATAACAGCATTCTATTTGTCAATAATGGATTGTTATGACTCGAGTTATTGGACAGAGAATCAGCGTAATGAAACAACGGGCTATCCAGATCTACGGAGAATTCACGTCAGTCTGCCAGACGTTACAAATTCCCTCGATTCTTATAAGTGAGGTAATAGGATTGTGGACTGATCCAATTGTGTGCCTCCAATACACACAAGAATGTGACAACAAGCCACGATTATCAACACAATACAACATTTAAGTAATCGAAAAGTCAACAGCACATTAATCGTATGCCCGGATCGACTATACGATTATATCGATTATGAGTTCCGATTCACCCGCCCTTTTTACTTTATCCACTTCCTTTAAAAGCGTTATATTCCATATCTGGACAAAACATCCGGTGCTGTTAACCCTTCAGTAGCTTTGTTTGTAAATATAAAAACATTTAAAATGTTAAACGTTACGTGCGTGAGTCACACGGCTGGGATTAGGACGTAAATACACGGCCAGCTAAGCGACAGAAAGCGAAACGAATACTATTTTTAAAGCGCACGGTTTCACAAACATAGGGAAGTTTCGTCCCACACCCGTAACGTAGGCGACCGGCGACTGTCGACTTTCTAACTGAAAACACGACACTGTTTTCAGATCATCGAACTTTCGTTTGATGTCGCTAATATTAGACTATACGAAATTAACGCTTTAAAATGTATCTTGATTGACTTTAGCGCAGCTGAAACTACGTTAATGACATAAGTGTTAGTATTCTATTTTAGAGAAAGTGTATTTTGGGGTAGTGACAATTTTATTACGTTTTTAAAGGCTTCGGTTCTAATTTAACGTAACTAAACAGTTTGTTATCAATCGACAATCTGTACTGTGTTTTGATTGAACGCCTCACTTTCAATGTGTGTGGGTCCTAAAACGATGCACGGGTCAAAGTGTCCCAAAAAAACAAATAAAAGCTAATAAATTAAGCACTTTGTATTCTCTTAATACGTTAGAAATGTGGCACTTGTAAGATCGTAGATAACTTATTTTTTTAGCAGTTCGTATAGGACGTGGTTTATGAATTATTTATAGTGCATAACAAATGTTATTCAGTCTTTAATGTTAAGTACTTAAGGACGAGATTTCAGGGCAGATTTTATAGCTACATAAAATACTTCAAGACTACGACATTACATATATTTTTATAGTTTATCGTAAGTAAGTTCTTTATCAAGATTATGATGTTGTTTTAAGAACACAGGTGTCACTTGATTGATGAATAAATGATTAATAATGATTAAATTCGCAGACAATGTCAAAGAGATTAAGTTACATTTATTCAGTCATCTGTCTAATTATCTAAGAAAACGAATCTTCTAGAACGAGAAAAGCATACCTACTTTCTGGACTGACATACACCTACTTAAACTGTCAAACACCAAGCGGTCACCGGTGACCGCAACCTATTGTTCTATAATTGTGTCTATAATGACGGAACTCAACAAGTTAATTGAAAATACTTAAACAAAAACAGCGATTAATCGAAAACTCAGTGTTGCTAAGCAACAGTTTAACTCGTCGAGTACCGGTTTTGTAGACACAATTATAGAACAATAGGTTGCGGTCACCGGTGACCGCTTGGTGTTTGACAGTTTAAAACTATAAACTACACATAAAGTACCGTCTTCTCTGAACAAGACGTTAATGCAAAAATCTGACGTATATGCGTATATATAGGTACTACAATTTAATTAATTCTAAAGAATGTCATGTCCTCACGATTCTCTAGGCAGGAAACAAACCAGGTACTATGGATGACGAACACAGACTTCCAGTATCTGAATATATTTGTAATTTCACAGAAAGGCGGTATTTCTGTATGCCGCGGAAATTTTAAAATAATTCCTATGTTAGGTTAAGTTCCTTGTATGAAGGTAGATTCGGAATTGTTCGTAAAAAACCTTCCTTTCTACTTAACTATGCATTCTTATTAGAATAATCATAATCTTTCTTATTAGCTAGGTACTTTAGGAGAGTAATTGAAAGATTTATATTTGTTATTTAGTTATGTGATGTGTCCTATGAAAACTCAGGATTTGGTACGCAAAATAAAGTAAAATAGGTACCTAACAATATTGAAGCCGATATTATAAGCATTTACCTACTTATTTCAATACTTTTTGAGTCATCATACCAAACTTTGTAGGTACTACCTACTGATGAAATAATTTTGAAATAAAATTGGGAATAATTACGGCAATGGTCTGTCTGGGAAAGATAAATCGTACATCGTACATATTATGCCAATGATGACTACCAGTCGTAAAACTGTGTTTATAATTAGTTAATTACAAATTATATTAAATATACCTAGTATAATGTAATATTCATTTAGAGTTACCTATCATATTTTCGCCTCTACCTACATCATTTATAAATCAAAATAATCCTGTGTAAGTACACTACCCTAAGAGTTTTTTTAAAGAGGTAAACGAGATGACGTCACGGTAAGTGAACAACGCCACCCATAGACAACCGCGACACCCGAAAAAATTGCGTCCTCGATTTTATTGGCTAAAAATTACTGACAGCTATCGTCATCCGTAATTGCACAAAAGAGTAAGGTACTTTAAAAAGTTTTTACTTAAAAACAAAACTACCAATCTACCGACCTACCGAAGTCATGTCAACGGTTGGAGCAAGAAAAGTATTCAAATTGAAAATAAGAATGGAATACTAAATAGCAATGCGTTCAAACCTCAATGGACTACGGAGGCATTCAAATTAGTTTTCGGAAAACCGAATTCCGACTAGTTTGTCTACATGTATGTAAGGTTCAAGGCTGTTTTATTCAAATTGCATAACCAGTTATTACACAACATTTCACAGCACTAGATCTTGAAGCCAGACAGTCCTTGACCGTTGAAAGTGTTTGAAGCAGATGGATTAAATACGTCAAACAGTCGGATATTATGTTAATTATTTTAAAAATATTTAGATGTTAGATACCTACTTGTTAGAACTAGTTATTTTAATAAAATAATCTTTACGTAGGTAATCTTTTACACGAAACGTACCTACTAGAGTTTGTCAAGCGAGTCTGGTCCCATAAAAAAGGCGGCAATATAAAAATCTTTCAGGTGCCAACACTGATATAGCACGCTGAAAACTTATTGATAATTGAATTTTTTTAAAACTAAAAAAACTACTAAAGTACTTGAAATTAAAAACTTCGCTTCGGTAAGAATCGAAGGTAGGCGAATTTTAATTAATAAATATGAAAATACGTTATTTATCTTATTAGAGCAATTACACTTTTAAATCTTGAATTTAACTCTGATAACTAAATGGCAAATAGATATTTTTTATATCACACTAATTACAAGAAAATCGGTTATACAATAATTCGTAATAAGTTATTGTTTTTCATAAACGACGTCTAACTTATGGTTAACAAAAAGATTTTAATTAATAAGCTAAATTGTAATTTTAATTGCTGCCAGTCTTTTGGGCACCCTACCTCACGATAATGATGAGGAAAATTTTTTTTTTGATGCCTTATTATAGCTTATTTATTTATTATTACCTTTTTTTTAAGGTGTAAATATTTTAGTTCATAGTTATTTATATTTTAAGTTGTATATATTTTCATTTAGTTATAGTTGATATTAATTGTATATATAATAAGTATGTATTTTCAAATAAATTATTATTCAAATCTATAAAAAAAAAAAAAAAAAAATTATAAGAAATAAGCTAAACAAAACTACGCAAAACTAACAAAATTAAAAGTTTGACTTGAATTACTTTTGATCCAAGTAACGCCATCTACATCTTTCGCAAACAATTTTAACTATCGCTACTCGCCACTAGATGGCACTGTTACAGAAGCGCCATCTAGTATAACTGTACAAAATAAAACTAAAACTTACCGTTAACGCCACCTAGCGGCGAATAGCTGAACAAGTATCTCACTTGCTAAGCGACAATCCAAACAGCGCCATCTAGCGAAAGAACACTGCATCCAATGTGCACTTTATAAACACAAACTGTTGACTTTTACACATTTTAATAATTTATTATTAATTTCTCACGTTTTGTATTGGTCGTTTGCACAATTTTTGTTAAATTCGTTCACTTCATGAATATTTTTAACACATATTTTACACTGGCACATGTGGTATTTTTTTATAATATTTATCTGAAACAAAAAGAAAACACATTGTTAATTATAATATTTAAAATATATATATTGGTATATTGGTAACGAAAACAGAGAAGTTCAGTAGACAATAACTATAAGAATCATATTGGTATTTCACTCAAGACTGTAGTCTCGTAACAACAATACAAGAATGTTTGACCTACATAATCAATATACATTTTTAATTTTATAACACGGTTTACTTTGAGAATTTACAGTAGACAGTGCATTATGAACAGAGAAGAGTAACATTATCACAACATATCATAGGACTTCTCAAATCTGACGCAATATGAGATTAATATCGGAAATGTGGAAACAAGCACATGGCCAAACACCAATTAGATGTTTACAAATTAAGTGTATAGGACTTTATAACATTATCATAAACTTGTTATAAGTAGGTTCTATAATTGTAAAGTAGTCTTAGAAGCATGCAGCATGAAAATTATTTTGATGACGAAATATCCAATATCTGATTGCCATGCTAAAAGTATCAAGATAATCGCCATCAATTATTGTTTTTAATCTTTCAAAATAAATTTAATTATATAACATAATGTCTTTATTAGTGAATGTATTTATAATATAAAATACCATCCTGGAATATTATTGTTCATTATTTATAATCATAAATTAATATTACGGATCACATTTAGAAATTGTAATGATACAGCATGCTCTTTCTTACTTCTAAATAATTGGATTTTGTTGTGTAAATGAATAAGAACTTGACAAACATCATATTGCCTATGTGGCATTTCCACATGTTTGTAAAATATTTCAGTAGTGAATGCTATTTATGTTAGATGATGGGTATGAAATTGAAACCACAAATCATGGACATTTAGTATCTGAAATCCGACCAATAATTGACAATCAATTTAATTGTTTATATTTATTTTTTAATTAAGTTCATTGCATTACTGGTTCTGTAAACTATTGTCACACAAGGTGCCATTGTAAATACAGATGGTTTATAAATAGAAAAAATAAATATAAACATTATGACCTTTCTAGAATGTCCTTCAAAATTCAACAATGTTTTTTTCTTCAGATCACTAGGTTTCAAAGCAAAATAAAATTAATACGTACCACAAACACTTCATCCAATGGAATACTAATTGAAGATACGAATTTCATGATGACACAGAGATGTAATAAAACAACCAAAGTATTTTCCAACCTAAGATTTGAAACTTATACTAACACTGTTGTACACACGTTTCAAATAGGATATACCGAAAAACTGGGCTCGGGCGGTGACTGCTGCGTAAATAAGACAACTCTTATGAATCTAAGGTCACCTTGCAACATACTTTTAAACTGAAACTTTACAATTAGCCTGAAAAATGCAAGCACGTGCACATAGAAATGCACCTATTATGCACTATGTAATTTTGTCACAAAATTTTACTAATTCACACAGTAGAGGGGCCTAATGGGCGTCAATATAGCACAACGAACCGGTAATTAAGGGTTTACAGGCAATATAACACGTGAACTTTATAACCAATTCGAATTACAGCGGCTGAAAAAACTACACAAAGAAAACATATGATCGATCGAAATTGAAGTGCACATGGACTTGTCTATGGTCGACCTCCTGTCAACTTTGAGGAACGGGAAATTAATAGACTATAGAGGACCATTCCAAAGATTGAAATGGTTCAAAATATTTTTCCTAGTGTAATTTAATTTTATGTTTTCGATAAGCAATAAATCAAATATTAAATTACTCTGTTTACAGTTTTTTTTTCAAACGTAAAGATTTAGTCCTCAACGAATACTTCTTTTGAGTTGCCAACCGCACCACAATTGAGAAAAAAAATAGACTATCAAATTTGGTTATTCGCATGAATGCATGGAATATTAATAATAGAGACTATTAGTACAATAAGTATGAGAAATCACAATCGCACACATTAAATTACAACGAAAGATTTCCCGTAAAAATCTCTAAAGCAAAGCAAGTACTTACCATCAAGTTGTGAATAGCAGATGTGAGGTGGTAACACTTTACTTGTGCAGTGTAAAATACATGTAGGATAATCACGGCGTATTCAATGACTTATTTAACGACGACTTCAATATCTACAAAAACAGATATGTTTTACTTTCTATTTAATTTAATGAGAATATAATTATTTTAAATACTTATAGGGCCAATTTCCAAATGTTTCAATAGCCTAATATCTTAAAAGGCCTAATATGAGTTTATTTTACTTTAACGAGAAAAAAATTACTACGTTGAGCCCTCCGATTGGTTGGTTCATTGAAGCAGGCCAACCAGAGCGCAGAACGAGCCTTCATTTATAAAATGTTATTATAGTCTGTGACGTATCACTTACATTTTATCGGGTAGAATAGAATAAAAAATACAAAGCACAGATATTTAGAAATCGACAGTAGTCTTACAGACAACCTTTGGGTGGATAAGCAGTAAGGGAGAACATAGGTACTTATTCGAAGGTGGTGAAATGGGCCCTTGAAGATTTTAGAAACTTACCGGCTCATTGTCCACCCACAAACTCCCAAACTCGGTTTCGAATTTATCGACAATTTTCGGATGTGATGTAACAATAACGCTTTCATGATTTGAAACCATTGCATGGGAGGACCAGTTCAAAGAACCAGACATTACAAAACCCGTGACTTTGACCTTAGCCTGGATTTTCACTGGCTTTTTTGTTTCCTTCGCATGAGAATTTAACTTTTCGGCTTGAGCTTTTAACAGTTTTTTCCGATGAATGGCTTTTGGCCCGTCAACAATGCAAAATTTGTGGTGCATTAAAATAGTCTTTTTACTCGGCTGCACTTGGATGAAACCTGGAAAATAAAAACGTTGATTTCAAATAATTATGTTACTATCTTTTTATGAGAAATTGGTAGAATTAATAGTAATTTTCAACTTACTGTATTCTTTTAACTTTTTAATTTGTGATGGTGGTTTGAATGCCGTTTCACTGTCAACAACTATTCTTATTAAGACATGTCTTTGTCCTAATCTTATAATTGCTTCTGCTATTTCTTTGCTAGTTATTAGATACATACACACGTCCAATGTCTCACGTGTGGCATTTATGTATGTGAGCAGTTTGTAGCAATTTAAATCTCTACTTTCACATATTAAGATATCTTTTGTTGGCGGTATTCTTATTGAATGTCGAGTCGCATCGTTTGAGAACACTATCACGTCGTTTATATCACGGTTTTTAAGATTTTGCGAAACTTCGCACATGCCGTCACTAGATTCCTCACGTTCATCATTTCTTGGATTAAAAAAATAGTTGTAAGCTTTTTTTACTATTTGTGTAGCGACAAACACAGTAGCAGTTGACAAAATAAAAAATTTCGCTTTTTTCCAATCCATCGTTATTAACTAGTTACTTTAAAACTAACAAATTAAAAATAAAATTTTAGAATATCAATAGTCCACCATATCGTCCACGCATGTAACGTAACTAATTTTGCTGGTCACAAATTGATTCAGTTTTTTTTCTGGTACCCTCAAAATCAAATGTATAACAATGTATCCCTCTATGACATTTTATCAAATAAAACTTATTTTATTAATTTAAATTGTTAGTTAAGTCATTTTAATTAAGTTTCGATTAATATTAACAAGATTTTTAAAGTTTATTGAGTGAACTGTAATTCTACTTTGACATTCTGTATAGTTAATTATTGAGGCAGAATGATGTAATGTCCGTTGCCAGTCTGTTATCTTTGATTTAAAAAATAAATATACCAACAACAACAAACGGAGCAATTTGATATTTTTTTCAATATTAATAATAAAACTGCCTCTGCAGTATCTATTGTGTTCTTCTGTTTTTTGTGAAAATATTTTATGTATAATTGATTTTAAAGTTTAAGTATAATATTTTTAACAAATTCTAAAATTAGCTATGTGTTACATGGATTCTGTGCGTCGCATTTAAGGAAATCTAAGATGCCTAAAATACCGTATAAACCTGAAAAAGCCCGTGAGGATGACGATGATTACGAAATTGTGTCTTTTGAAGACTTCTGTGACAAGTCTCCTGGTTCTAAAACCGACCTATTGACGCTAAATGATAATATAAACTATCGTCTTTGTTACGAGAGTGATAAGAATTCAAAATTGAATGAATTAGAAGGTGAGAGCTCCAGAGCTGCAGATAGACACACGGAGACCTCTCTAAATGGCCCTAAAGGTGTTACATTTAAGAGGAAGCTTTCAAATTCGTTTTCTCCCTTTGGGCGATACAACAACAAAGGAGGCAGAACTCCACTGTTCAGCGGAGTTATTCCTAAGCCAAGAAGTGAAGGAGAGTCTGGAGCAAGGGAACATAGGTACGTTGAAAAGATGAAACTCATACACAAAATCCTACACCTTAGTTCCATGGATGTGGAAACCACAGAGTGCGAGCTGGTACAATATTAACATACTTTCTCAGCTTCCGTCACAACCAATCACCTTTACCTTTTGAATATAAGCACATCAATTTAAGCATACTTTGTACCTGGCCTCTTTTCTAGGTACTTAATTATAGCAAAAATTGCCTAATTTTAAAACAACTGTGTCAATAATTTCATCTGTACATTATTAGTTCTAGTAATTTATGATACTGTTATTTATACCTAACTAATCATATATGTTATATACATAATATATTTTCTATCCTATTGTTGGGCATAGACATGTCGCAGGTTTCAATGCCAATGATCAAGATTCAAGATTTAAGTTTTATGTATATTGTTATGATTTTTTTTGCATTTTGTGGGCTCCTATAATTGAGTATCACATAGCTTTTAATTTTTTGTAATATTACTTGATAAGTGTATTCCTTGTTGGAGACCCTAATTAAATAAATAAATATATAATCTACAGACCACGATGTCCACTGCAGGACCAAGGCCTCCCCCTTAGTCTCCCACATTGTCTAAAAACCTGCAATACTTATTGATATAACATTTATATAATATCTACTGCATAAATCATCTCATTTATTATTGGAATATTTGTTCATGTTCCATAAATTCTAACTAGAAGTTTCTTATCTGTGTTTATGATGCTATAGAAATTATATCGAGGGGTAACGGACTATTTGGTTTAAGCGACATTTTGGTCGATATTGAGTTATTATAATATATATTCGACGGAGAAAAATTCGCTGATTCCGAATATATATATAACTCAATATCTCCCAAAATGTCGCTTAAACCAAATAGTCCGTTACCCCTCGATATATATATTTTTCTATCATGCTCATTTACTATATCATATGAAATTCAAGAGTATGTTTATTTGGTATATGCACACTGAACTAGCGACTCACGACCCACCCTGGTTTTAATCTAGAATTTAATTAATTCATTTTTCTCTACACTTTATTATGCATGTATTTCACATATACGTCTTTCTTTTGAATTACTTCCTCAAATATTGTCACGCCCTTTAGCATAATTTTAAAGATCTAAGCATACATACACTCAGAGGGTAGAAAGCGACTTTGTTTTATACTATATAGTTAAAGTGAATTCCTCAAGATTCACACATATTTAAGTTTATGGCATTTATTTATTTGTAAATTATATTTACTTAGGGTTAAAAGAAGTATGGTCCTCAAGGCTGCAAAGTATAACAAGTTATCGGGGCTTCCGTTCAAAGCAGAAGTAGGAATAGGGTAGTATTTAATCAGTAAGAGTCTGACACTCCCTCTCGCCTCGTCCAAGGCTGAAGAACTCAATGGATGATTTTCCCGCCTAAAAAAAGGCTGCAAATTATTTTTATTTATTCATTTATTCAAGGCTTCATATATTTACATAGGTGGTATATATATGAAGATTGTATATAAAGGTGGTATATAAAGTAAGGTTTAAACTGTCAAACACCAAGCGGTCACCGGTGACCGCAACCTATTGTTGTTTAATCGTGTCTATAATGACGGTACTCAACGAGTTAAGTATATGGGCGTTCACTTCCATCCAAACCTTTGGGTGATGTAGAGATAAAACGATGGCAAGATTTATTTTCTAAATAAATAAATAAGAAGCAAGCATAATATACAAGTAAAGTATATGTGTTATGCAAGATGAAAACAAAGAACTTTAGTATTATAGCTATTTACTACAAACATTCCAGGTCTATAATTATTCATTGTTTTTGAATTGCCGCTATTTTAACACAAAATAATCACTAATGCACTGCAAGTAGATTCAAAGTGGAATAGCAATATTAACTTTAGACTTTGTGTTATGATTAATCATACATTTGAATTCAACAGTAAACATGAACTTTGATTGTGTAATAAATTGTCTAATATCAAAGTGATATAAATAGCAACACTATTCCCATTTCACGATAGTCCGTGCAGTTCTGTTGGCCTGTGTTAGAACTATATTGTGTGCTTTGGGAAGCAAATATGAAAAAGTTTGTGTATTTCATTTCTTATTTAAAACTATTTATTGTGTAATTTTTGTGTCAAAATTATTTTACTTGGTTTTTTTATTAATATTCATTTTGCTACAACCATTCTCTACAATTGTGTAACGAAGTATCCATCTTATTATCTTACTAATATATTAAATGCGAAAGTTTGTGCCTTTGTATGTTCGTTTGTTACTCAATCACGTCATAAATTGATCACCCGGTTACAATAATATCTATAGTTGACTATATAACATAACACAAAGTCACGCCTTTTATCCCCGAAGAAGGGTTTATCCCAGAGGTGCACATTACGGCACTTAATGCCACTGTACAATGTAACACCCACTTTCCACTATTTATGTTATGAGTCCCCATGTAATAGGGAGTGAGCCGGTTGCCATATACCGGACACAATTCCAGACTACGTGCTACTACTGAGAAATTTTTAAAATCCCAGTAGTACTTTGCCCGACCCGGGACGAACCCGAGACCCCTTGCCCGGCAGTCGCACTTGCGACCACTCGGCCAACGAGGCAGTCGAGTAGTAATATATAAATATAGAAATCCAACCAATAACTGTTTCTCTACATTTAAAAAAAAAAACTTAATATATAAGGAAGTAAAGTTGTTTACTAGCTCATTACACTTTATATACTCAACCAACCTTTTTACAGAGGAAGTTATAGTGTACTCTTCACTTAAAAGAGGATAGCATTAATTTTTTTATACTCTTTCAACTTTAAATTTTGTTCTTCACAGATACCAACGCTTTTCGGAGCGTCGCAACATATTCCAACGCATCTGGGAGCACTTGCCCGGGCTAGGATCAGGCATGCTGGGCGTGGCACTGGTCTGTGCGCTGTGTGTGGGTGCCTGGTGGGCTGTGGGCGGCGCTGTCGGAGGTTCCTGGGGAGAAGAACATTACAGGTTGGTGGTGAAAAAAGTAACTATACATTTAGCATAATCACTGTTAACTGAAGCATCACCTTATGCCACGTAGGCACCCCTTACTGGCTGTACAGTTGCGCATGCAAATATTACGCTTATTTTTTTTTTATGGTATAGTCAAAAGTCAAAGTCAAAGTCAAAATCATTTATTTCAATTAGACCAGAAAGGCACTTTTGAACGTCAACAATAAAAAAAAACATAAGCCGGTAAATGAGCAGACGAATCACCTGATGGTAAGCAATCGGCGTCGCCCATGAACGCCTGGAACACCAGAGGCGTTACAAGTGCGTTACCGGTCTTTAGGAGTTTGAGGATTGTTGGGGATTCAGGGATTTGGGAGATTGGGGAAGGGGAGGGTAATTGGGCCTCCGGTAACCTCACTCACACGACGAAACAATGCAAGCGTTGCTTCACGTCGGATTTCTGTGAGGCCGTGGTATCACTCCGGTCGAGCCAGCCCATTCGTGCCGAAGCATGGCTCTCCCACACTTAAATATATTTATTCGTGCATTAACGATAATCAATGCTCTCTTGGCATCCGCACCAGAGTGTGATTTATTCGCAGCGAGGTGGAAGGATATATGTCGTGAATGTGTAAGGTTTTGTGAGAAGATGGACGGCTGATGAATTAGTTTTTCGAGATCGGCCCATCAGATATGTAAAAAAAATTACGGGTATATATAGTTTACATGAGATTAGAGGTATCACTTTTTACTTATTTATACAGATTGGGGTCGATTTTTCTATCAACAGATAATTCTGAACTGTAGAATAAAATTATTATCTGACAGCTTTTAGTATCGAAGAAGGGTATTCAAATTAGTAATAGTAATTAGACAGTGTATGAAAATTAAAAATGTAATTAGTCCGTTAGTTAGATAATGAAAAAGTATTAGACAAGTATTTTTTTAATTTGTCGTATAAGAACACAATACTAATATAAAATGGAGTTAAGTTTAGTAGCAAGGTCGTTACGTCACGCTACCCTATAAAATTTAAGTGTGGGAGAGCCATGCTTCGGCACGAATGGGCCGGCTCGACCGGAGTGATACCACGGCCTCACAGAAAACCGACGTGAAGCAACGCTTGCGTTGTGTTTCGTCGTGTGAGTGAGGTTACCGGAGGCCCAATTACTCCCCTCCCTAGTCCCCGTCTCCCGAATCCTCGAATCCTCCACAATCCTTAAATTCCCAATTCCCAAAAGGCCGGTAACGCACTTGTAACGCCTTGGTGTTTCGAGTGTCCATGGGCGACGCCGATTGCTTACCATCAGGTGATCTGTCTGATCGTTTACCGGCTTATGCTATAATAAAAAATGTAGTGAAACGTGATGTGACCTTATTTCAAATCAATATATCGTCGAAAGTTTTTAATTTTGCAAGAAAAGAAAAAATACGTGTCTAATGTTTTAAATTAGTATACAAGACGGACATTAAAATAAAATTTATGATACTACCCTATTGTGAAATATTCAAATTACTCCTCCGAAAAATTTATCTGGCTTTGGAAAAATCAGCTCTTTGTGAGATGCAGCAGACTTTACTAGATTATTTAGAACTTGATACTGATTATTTGATTTCATTTATTTACTTAGATGATGAAAACTTATTAGAAACGGTTGATGAACTTACCTAGTCTAATTCACAATATTTACTTATTACATTCATCATGAAATTACAGAAAACTCTGGGAAAGAACACATCCAGATGCGATCAAGAAACCCCTGTCACCGATGCCATATGAAAAGGTACTTTATTTCAATTTGCATACCAATTATAATACATTGCCTTCATACATAAGTGAATAGAGATATAACTAATAAGTAGTTTCCTATACAGCAAGCTCCGGAGTACCGATACCATGATCACAACAACTTGAGTACGAAGAACAAGAGTAATGCTACGGAGAGGAAGAAGACGGACCTGAACAAGAAGAATGTGTACCCGGAGAGGACTGTGGAAGTCCTTCAGGATATGTGTTCCAAGGTCGATGAGATGATGAAGTTCGATTGTTTTCCTCAAGGAGCTTCCAATGAAAAGGATTGTGTTAAACGAGGTAAGTTTTTATAATCTTGCCAATGTATGAGTGTGGAATATGTCACGCTTCGTCATGAATGGGCCGGCTCGACCGGAGTGATACCACGGTCTCACAGAAAACCGATGTGAAACAACGCTTTTGTCGTGTTTGGTCGTGTGAGTGAGGTTACCGGAGGCCCAATTACCACCCCCCCCAGTCTCAATCCCCGAATCCTCCACAATCCTCAAATTCCGAATTCGAAAAAGGCCGGTAACGCACTTGTAATACCTTGGTGTTTCGGGTGTCCATAGGCGACGCCGATTGCTTACAATCAGGTGATCCGTCTGCTCGTTTACCAGCTTTATGCCATAAAAAAAATCATTGAATGTAGTAGTTTCAGTATTATTAGGATCACTTATTGCTTCTCGTTAGAAATCTGACCCTGACCATAAGTGATTTCCTCGTATAATTTGCTTGCATAGGTAAAATATGTTTTTATTGATTGTCAGTAATAGCGCTAATTCTAGAATAAAATTCGATTTTTACTGCATAACAAAGTTTATCTCTCAAATAATTCTCAATACAACACAAAAATATTTTGTCATATCGGACCAGTACCTAGTTCTTTAGATTAGCATACATAATATCACGCCTTTTATCCCCGAAGGGGTAGGCAGAGGTGCACATTATGCCACTGTACAATGTAACACCCACTTTTCACTATGTATTTATGTTATGAGTCCCATGTAATAGGGGGTGAGCCTATTGCCATATACCGGGCACAATTCCAGACTCCGTGCTGCTACTGAGAATTTTTTAAAAACCCTGCAATACTTTGCCCGACTTTGACCACTCGGCCAACGAGGCAGTCTTTCTATAGATTAGCGTGTTTAAAAAAACAAACATATTCTTCAGCTTTAAGATTTCTTTTCGCTCCTGACCTTCTGCACGTTTTATGTAAAATAATTAAATAATATTAATGCTTTACATCCTCTCTCGTCTGCTGTACGATAATTATTTAATTGGTTTTGTGATTTATACTGCAATAAACTCGCGTGCATACACGACCTTCATGTAAAGTGCGTTGAGTTCTGCTGTTTTTAACCGACTTAAAAAAAGGAGGTTCTCCTGTATGGAATTTGTTTTTATATTTGTGCAATATTATCTCGCGATTGGGGGACGCGTGTTTACAGCAGTGGACGTCCTATGGTTCATATGATCATGATGATGATCTGGCGATTGACTGAACTGATTTTGGTGCGATTTTAGAATAGTTCATTACACTTTGAAGAAGGTTTTAGATATTAGTTAACCGACTTAAAAAAACGAGGGGTTTAAAGTCGGTTTTTTAACGTATATAATAATCAAAGTCAAAATCATTTATTTTAATTAGACCAGAAAGGCACTTTTGAACGTCAAAACAAAAATATTGAAAACAAAAAAAAACAATTTCAGTATGTCGGTCAGTCGGTCTAGTTGCTCTATTTGCTCATTCCAAGGTGTAGATTCCTATGGAGAAGAACGAGCAAGAAACTCCGTAGGTTACTCTTTTTCAATCAGTTTCATAATACAATATTCTTGGTTAGGGTAGGTTAGTTACTTCCAATAATTTTGTTTACAATAACGACTAAAAAATATTTTATTTCCAGGATGCTGTTGGAAATCAACAGAGACTCAAGGAGTGCCATACTGCTACTATCCATCTCACTTCGACTCCTTCCGATTCCTAAACATAACGGAAGACAAGCACGGTATGGTTGCCTACATGGAGAAGGTGCGTCCGTCCGGATATCCAGGAGACTTTGATGTCGCTAGGATGGACTTCAAGTATTTGTCTGATGATGCTCTGCAGATTAAGGTGAGAAGTATGCTAAGTATTAAGTAGTCATGTCAGTTTAGCTGACCTGTCTGAAGAAAACGACTTCTTCACTCTTAACTTGGATCTTTCTAGCATGGTCCAATCGTCATCAACGTCATTATGTCTCTTTATTATTTTTTTATGGAATTAGCTTGTAAATGAACAGACGGATCACCTGATGGTAAGCAATCGGCGCCGCCCTTAGGGCCGAAACACAACCGCGTTGCGTCGCCGTGAAAAAGAGCGTTTTATTGTCGTTCGGTAGGGTAACCAGTTCGTCGTGATTTTTTAAAGTGGATAGACGTATCTCTGCCATGGACCACCGTGAAAAACTTATTGCTTATTTGTTATTGAGAAGACATTACTCTTCTATGCTGGAACGAGCGCTGCGTTGCGCTTATAATTTTGTCGCTTAAATCTGCAGTGATTGCTACTGTCGATTCTAGCGGCGCGGCGCTGCTACGTCGTTATGTGTTTTGGCCCTTAGACACCTGAAACATCAGAGGCGTTACAAGTGCGTCACGGGCCTTGTGGGAATTTGAGGATTGTGGGGGATTGGGGAGATTAGGGAGGGGGGTAGGGTGTAATTTGGCCTCCGGTAACCTCACTCACAAGACAAAATACAATGAAAAGCGTCCGTTTTCTGTGAATGGGACGACGATTGACCACTATCTCGTCAGGTACTATCTCCTCTTAAAGAAAAGGTTCCTTTAAAAGATTCAAGTTTACCAGCAAGTACTGTGGTCTGGTCTACGTAAAATGTATACTTGTGTCTTGGAGTCTTATACTTGTCTTTTATGCAGTTTAGATGTCATTCAAATCTCAATGTTACACGTTGAAAAACTTAAGTTATTTTAATTTTCAGATCTATGACGCAGAACACAAGAGGTTCGAGCCGATGCAACCTGAAACATCAATAGTGTCGAAACCTCTCTCTCAGAAGAAGTACAGGGTGGAAGTCGACGGGTCTCTCATGGGATTCAAGGTCATCAGGAATTCTGATAATGTTACTATGTGAGTTTTTTCATGGTTTACATATTGTTTTCTCACTGTGAACTACATTTTAGTATTGATTGTCGAATTGAAACCTTTCGGTTTTGAGACCAATTTCGAAACTAGGTAAACAAATTTAGATTTTTTGAACTTTTCTTTAATTAGTGCACATGAGTCGGAAATTTCAAGTTCCTATATATATAACCACTTCTTCCAGTTATTTTGTTATTATTTTTAGAGTACATGATATGACTGCAACTACCAGGCAGGGGTACTCGGGTTCGATTCCCGGGTCAAGTAAGACAGAGTTTTTAAAATAAAATCTCAATAGTAGCACGGAGTCTGGAATTGTGTCCGGTATATGGCAATACGCTCACCCCCTATTACATGGGACTCATTACATAAATAGTGAAAAGTGGGTGTTATATTGTACAGTGGCACAAGTGCCGTAAAGTGCACCTCTGCCTACCTATCTGGGGATAAAAGGCGCGATTTTATGTTTATGTTTAAATGATATGTTTATTGTTTCAACGATTAATGGGTGCGTATTATGCCTGCATGTCATTGTGTATTTTTATTGAATGTTGTCATGCGGCTTCATTGATCACAATTTCGTTATAAACTCCTCTTATAATTCCAGTTTTAACTTCAAAACTCATATACCATATATCCTTCTTTTCAGTGTAAACAGCCAAGACGTAGGCGGTTTGATCCTATCAGACAAGTTCCTGCAACTATCAGCCGTGCTACCGACGAGCCATATATTTGGGCTCGGAGAGAAGAGGGCGCGGTTCATGAATGATGTCAATTGGAATACTTTCGCATTATTTAATAGAGACAGGGTGCCTACTGAGGGGGTTCGTATACTTTTGCAAATTTTACTGGTTGAATTTTCAGGAAATGTCTGCTATATGTCTGCTATATTTTCCAAGGAAGATTAGAAAGAAAGAAAGAAAGTAAAATAATTTATTCGCCATGGACATATACATGGACCACCGAAAATTAACATACAACATAAACATTGAAACACAAAAATAAATAGAAAACAAAATAAAAAACATAAAATAACAAAAAAAACAACAATGAAGGCAAAAAAAAAACATTATAAAAAAAGCAAAATAAAAGAAACAGGGTGGCAGCATGTCCACGACGCAAGGGCTCGCACACTCAGTCTAAGCGGGGCACAGTAAGTACACAACACTGATTTTCAGTTGGCACCCCTGCAGTGACGCACGGACGGAAGCAACGAAAAATCTATATATATAAAAGAAAGTCGTGTTAGTTACACTATTTATAACTCAAGAACGGCTATATCGATTTAGATGAAAATTGGTGAGGAGGTAGCTTAAAACCAGGAGACGAACATAAGATACTTACTTTTTATCCAATACTTATTTTTACTTTTAACCGAAAATCAAGAACGGGTACGGGAAATATCGGGATTGCACGTACGAAGTCGCGGGCAGAAGCTAGTTTACGATAAATAACGATTAATGTTGTACTACAAGTTTTGAGAATAATCTTTTAGTTTTAGATTTTTTGCCAATTACTTATAAGTTTCATTCTAATATTGACCTATACCGGCAGACGCATCACCTGATGGTAAGCAATCGGTGTCGCCAATGGACACCTGGAACAACAAGGTGAATTTGAGGATTATGGGGGATTCGGAGAGACTGGGGGGGGGGGGATTGGGCCTCCGGCATCCTCACTCATACGACGAAACACAACGCTGTGGTTGCTTCACGTCGGTCTTCTGCTCGTTGGTGGTATCACTCCGATCGAGCCGGCCCAGCAGTGCCGAAGCATGGCTCTCCCACACTTAAACTTCTACTGATTTCCCTACCTATCTTTGTAAATAGTGTCCCGTATATTCTAGGTGAACCTATACGGCACGCATCCACTGTACCTGGCCGTGGAACACGACGGCAACAGTCACGGCATGCTACTGCTCAATTCTAACGCTATGGGTATGGTACACCCTGTATATATTGCACTGTTGTTTGTTTATTGTAAAGTTGATTTTATGGTTGTGCTGTTAAGGGTTAATGTTGTTTGTACAGTGTGCAATGGTTAGGTTTGGTATTTAATTAATAAGGAGGAACTTTGTTTGTTTTTATTCATTTTTAATCTCAGTTTTTCTTCTAACATCAGAATTAAATTCATTATTAGCTTTCTGGCTTACTCACGTACCTGTTTGGCGAGGAACTCGACTAGTATCACGCCATGCTAGAAAGCGTGAATAATTGAATCATCTCTAGCATGGCGTGATACTAGTCGAGTTCCTCGTCAAACAGGTATGTGATTAAGCCGAAAACATAATAATGAATTTAGGATGTCTCACGAACGTTTTAATGTCACAATTAAATGTTTAAAAAAGTTTAAAATGCATAATATATTCAAACCTATGTGTAATTTACTTGCGTTTCATAAGTTTTGCACAAAATACAAATAATACAATGCTAAGGTACTTTTTAAGATTATTTAGACATCACTGACAAACGGTGAAGGAAAACATCGAAAGGAAATCTGGGCTTATAATTTCTAATTATAAGTTTAAAATCGCCAACCCGCATTGAGCAAGCGTGGTGATTAATGCTCAAACCTTCTCCATGTGAGAAGAGGCTTTGTTCAGCAGTGGGCATTTAGGGTTTGCGCAATTTACGCAACGTCTAAGTCTAATTTAAATCCTTATTAAGCTTCGTAAATAAGTAGCTATTTTTAGCCCACAAAGACTGAAAGATCCAAATAAAATAATAAAAAATAAACTTCCAGACATAGTCCTCCAGCCGACGCCAGGCATAACATATAGAACTACGGGTGGTATTCTGAACTTCTTCATCTTCCTTGGACCCTCGCCCAAGGAGGTAGTAGCTCAGTACACTGAGCTGGTCGGCCGACCGTTCATGCCGCCTTATTGGTCGCTTGGATTCCATTTGTGCAGGTAAGAAAATTGTTCACATTAGGATTTCCTCCTGTGTCGTGGGTGCGTTTACAAACATAAAGTTCACATACACATGACACCCAGACCCGGAACAACAAATCGTGGACCACACAAAGTGTTGTTCCGTGCGGGAATCGAACCCGCGACACGTTGCACGGCAGCCGGTTGCCCAGCCACCGCACCAACCGTGCAGTCCATTATAATAATAATCATTACTTTTAGTCTACTAGACACAACCTATCCAATTAGATACTTTCCTTAATCAAAAATAAAATTATTTCGATTAAAATTATATAAAATAATTACACTATCGTTCATTGATTTTATGACCAACGTAATGTTAGTATTTATTCAGCAAATTAAAAAAAAAATCAGTATGCTGTTTGACACTTAAAGAAACTTGACTCGCAATTCGCAATCTCGTACAATAATTCATAGAAAACTGTAGTTTTTGACAGTTCGAAAAAAGTATTGAATTTGACTAGTTGGCAAATACCCAATTGTTACTATCCAATGGCACGCCTGTGATCTCAATCTTGGTTCACAAAAATTTCTGACTAAAAAAGTCAGACATTCACTCGTCTCACCCAAGACGGAAGAAGGCATTGATTTCCACTCTAAAAAAAAAGTGTTCTCAATCTTCAGCGATCGTATACAAGGCAAATATAAATTTTGGTCTGCTATGTAGTAAACCGCTGTAACGTACTTAACTCGTCGAGTACCGGTTTTGTAGACACAATTATAGAACAATAGGTTGCGGTCACCGGTGACCGCTTGGTGTTTGACAGTTTAACTGTAAGTGGTCCTGGTAAAAAAGATGAACTAAAGTAAGATATGAATCTGTTCATACAAATCTTGAAATGGTTTTTAGTGTTTTCTAAACATTGTTTTGTGTTTCCAGGTTCAACTACAACACAGTGAACGCTACTAGAAATGTGTGGAAAGCTAACAGGGATGCTGGGATACCTTTTGTAAGTTTTGTTCTTTCTTGGCACCTACATGCTAGTAATTTCTACACCTAAACGTTTTAAATCATAAAACATAATATCACGCCTTTTATCCTCGAAGGGTTAGGCAGAGGTGCACATTAGGGCACTTAATGCCACTGTACAATGTAACACCCACTTTTCGTGAAAGGGGGTGAGAGTATTGGCATATACCGGGCACGATTCCAGACTCCGTGCTACTACTGACATTTTTTTTCAAAAAACGCAGTAATATTTTACCAGACCCTGGAATCGAATCCGCATGATCAGTCGAGTCGCACTTGTGATCGATCGATCAACAAGGCAAATATTTTAGACCTTTAAAGGATAAATTGAAAGCTAAGGAGTAAATGATGTTTAAGGAGGCCAACACTAGGTTCACAACTGACTCCTAGACGTATACTAGGCCTCCTCTTGTTAGTGAGCTTCCAGCTAACTACCAACAATAGCATTGTTATTATTAAGTAAGATAATAACATTATTATTTTCTCCCTGGTAGGACGTGCAATGGAACGACATAGACTACATGCACGACCACAACGACTTCACGTACGACACCAAACGCTTCGCAGGACTACCCGACTTTGTCAAGGAAGTACACTCCGAGGGAATGCATTATATGATTATTATTGGTGAGTATAGCATTATGTTTTTATAATAACTATCTTGAGACATACTAAATTAACTTAAAATCGCGGGATTTTCACGTGAATATACTGAGAAAAGCTCTACTAGTTTCGAACCACAGACAGCCTACGCAGTACGTCAGTAGGCTGAACGACATCGCCGCGACCGCGCACGCTGCTCATGAAGAAGAACCCCTCTGTAGTTCGAAACTAGTAGAACTTTTCTCGGTATATTCGCGTGAGTAACTCGCGACTGCCTCGTTGGCCGAGTGGTAGCAAGTACGACTGCCGGGCAAGGGGGTCTCGGGTTCGATTCCCGGGTCGGGCAAAGTATTACTGGGTTTTTAAAAAATACTCAGTAGTAGCACGGAGTCTAGAATTGTGCCCGGTATATGGCAATAGGCTCACCCCCTATTACATGGGACTCATAACATAAATAGTGAAAAGTGGGTGTTACATTGTATAATGGCATAATGTGCACCTCTGACTACCCCTTCGGGGATAAAAGGCGTGATGTTATGTATGTATGTAACTCGCGATTTTTAGTTAATTTAGTATAGCATTATGTGGCTTGTTGTTATTTATATAGAGTTGAATATTGTCTGGTTATAGAATATCGTTAATATTCTTATCATACCAGAAGACGTCCACTGCTAACTGAACATAAGCCAAAAGGTATTATGTGAAACGAAAATTGTTAACATCTTTTGTATAATTCTTTTATAAACTGCGTTTAAAACAGTTGAATTCGAACCCGTATTTTTTTGAAGTCGGTTTATTATTATACCTTAAACGTTCTCCTATGTGTAACAAATGTCGCGGAGAACCTAACGGGTAACCGGGGCTCCGACTCAAAGTGCAGGAGTAAGAACGGGGGGGTTTTTAGTCAGTAAGAGTCTGACACTCCCTCCCGCCTCACCCAGGGAGCAGTCATTCGATGATATTCCCTTAAAAAAAGTGTAACAAATACTTTTCTTAAAACAGCATCAAAATAGATTCAGCTTATCGAGAGATAATTGCACAAACATTTATATTTACATACATACATACATACCAGGTCAAACTACCTACTACGAAAACCTCCTTAAGTCGGTTAAAAATAAATATTTCCTTCAAAATTAGCCTGTATTGCTAACGCAATAAAATAATTTCAGATCCAGGTGTGGGTGCGTCAGAGAAGCCTGGCACTTATCCACCTTACGACAGAGGCGTCGAGATGGACATATTTATCAAGAACTCCACCAATCAGATTCTTATTGGACAGGTAAGACGCTCATCAACAGCCTTTGTTCGTCCACTGCTGGGCGTAAGCCTCTCCAATGTCACGCCTTTTAGCTCGGTATTCAGCTCTACGCATTCAACCCCTACCAGCCACTTTACGTATATCGTCCCTTCACGCAACTGGGGGGCGCCCTACACTACGTTTGCCTAGATGCGGTCGACATTCCAGAACACGTGTACGCCAGCGGTCATCGCTTCTTCGACAAATGTGACCGGCCCACTGCTATTTCAGTTTGCTAATCCTTTGGGCTACATTGGTAGCTTTAGTTCTCTGTCGGATAAGTAAGACGTTGGTAAAAGAATATCCTATCTAATATTCCTTTTTCTGATTCATTCTCATGATTGGATCATAAATATGGTCACTTAGAAAAGAAGGCAGTAGTACAGTACAGTACTTCAAAAAGCAAATTTCACAATTCGAAGATGTGAAATACCACACAGATTATGCTGCTCATGAGGAAGAACCCCTACGTGGTTCGAAACTAGTAGAGCTTTTCTCAGTATATTCAAGTGAGTAACCCGCGATTTTTATTTAACTTAGTATGTCTCACGATAGTTATTATAAAAACTACACAGATTATTTATTTACCTAAGATTTTGATCTTGTTGCTCTGGTATTTTTATTTGGTACCTTTAAACCAGATATTTATTTTGCAAATCGTATGAACAATGTCACCTATATTAATAATTCCGTCAAGGGTACCCCTTGACGGAATTGTAGACTCGATCGAAACATTAACTGAATACCAAACATAATAAAATATCTATTTCCGCAAAATTCGCATTACGGAGATTATTTCGTTTTATTAATTCATTTTAATGACACTGACAGACAAACCGCACAAGAAATATGAATAATTTCACACGAACGAAGTCGCGAGTAACAGCTAGCAACCATATAAAACATAGTTTTTCTAAAATATACTTCATTCCAGGTGTGGAACACGGGTCAGACAGTGTACCCAGACTTTACTCATCCGAACTCCAGCAGTTACTGGCTGGAGATGATGTCCAACTTCCATAAACATGTTCCTTACGATGGGGCATGGATTGTAAGTAAATTTTACCGTAATTATAAGTACATTTTTTAGGGTCCTTTAAAATGAAATTCTCTGCCAGAGTCTGTATTTCCTGAACGGTATAACCTGGGTGTCTTTAAGGCCCGAGTGTATAGGTTGCTTATGGCTCGACGTGCTCCATCGTAGACCGCATCATCGTTTATCTCTAGTCGAGATAGTGGTCAAACGTCGGCCTATCAAATATATATATATATATAAAAAAAAACGATTGGCTATAGCCGACAAATAAAGTATGACGCGAACCGTTACAGTCGCCTACAGCCGACAAGGACACATGATTCTTAAGTACATTTAGTTATTCAGCTATAGTCGACCGCGGCGGTCAAAAGGTTAAAAGGCAATAACAGTTAGTTTTTTACATTAGTCTACTTCAAGCTACTTCGATTCCAAGAGATTGTCGGGATTTTATTTTATGTGACATGTGCTTTTTAATTTGTATCGATTAAGTATTATTTAATGGTGGTTCGGTGTACTATATAGTTTGTTCTCTCTTTTAAAAACGTTGCCTCCCACTAGGATTTTCTCTTGTATCGTAGGTGTGTTTACAAACATAAAGCTGACATACACATGCCACCCAGACCCGAAACAACAATTTGTGGATCACACAAAGAGTCGTTCCATGTGGAAATCAAACTCGCTAAACGTTGCGCTTTGGCGTGGTGTGAGGTCAATAACTATAACTAATATAATATTATTACACGCTACATTTTCGTACATTTTCCAATGTCCAGGACATGAACGAGCCGTCCAACTTCCGCGACGGCACGGCGGTGGGGTCGTGCGCCCCCGAGGAGCTCCCGTACCGGCCGCGGACGTCCGACGCGGCGCTGCGGACCCACACCGTCTGCATGGACGCGCGCCAGGCCGCGGGCTCGCACTACGACCTGCACAACCTGTACTCCTACACTGAGGCTGTCGCTACCTACTTGTAAGTCTAATTTCATTTCCAAAAAATCGCGGGGTGAAAATACTGACAAAAGCTCTGGGTACTAGTTTCGTGCCTCATGGGCGGCGTGCGCGGTCACGGCGACTGCCTCGTTGGCCGAGTGGTCGCAAATGTGACTGCTGAGGTACGGGGTCTCGAGTTAGAAATCCAGGTCGGATAAAGTATTACTTACTGGGTTTTTAAAAATCTCAATAGTAGCACGGAGTCTAGATATGTGTCCGGTATATGGCAATAGGCTCACCCCCTATTACATGGGGCTAATAACATAAATAGTAAAAAGTGGATGTTATATTGTACAGTGGCATTAAGATTAAGTGCTGTAATGTGCACCTATGACTACTCCTCTACGGATAAAAAGCGTGATGTTATGTTATGTTACTTAAAAGCTTAAAATCAGTTTATAGAACGGGGCTAGGCTGACGGACAATGATGACTTACTGCATTCTTTACTATAACTATATTTTTCTATCCACAGCTCGCTAGCAGAGATCCGCGGCAAGCGACCGTTCATAATATCCCGTTCCACGTTCGTGGGGATGGGCAAATACTCCGGACATTGGAGCGGAGACATCGCCAGCGACTGGCATGACATGAGGATGACTATCCCTGGTGAGGAATATACATACTATACACATATACAAAGCCATCAGACCACCACAGATGGGGCCCAACAGGGCCGATGCCGATTCGGAGTCGCGGAGAACCTAACGGGTTACCGGGGCTCCGGCTCGACGTGCAGGAGAAGGAACGGGGTGGTTTTTAGTCAGTAAGAGTCTGACACTCCCTCCCGCCTCACCCAGGCGGGAGCAGTCATTAGACGATCAATCAATCACTGTAGCTTACAAAATTTTTATGTTCTATGGTTTGACATCATGCTAGATAGAAAAACGGTGACCCGTAAATTGTGGGATTTCCTTTTTACAGGGTATCAAAATTGAAAATGTAATTAGTCCGTTAGTTAGATAATGAAAAAATATTAGACACGTATTTTTTATTTTCTCGTATTAAGTTGCAATACTTAGATAAAATGGCGCTAAGTTTAGGAGTGGGAGGTTGTTACGTCATAACGTGCTACAAAATGTAGCACGCTGTGACGTCACACGATATTTTAAATTAATATATTGTCGAAAGTATTTAATTTTGTGAGAAAAGAAAAAAAATGTGTCTAAAGTTTTAAATTAATGTACCAGAAGGACATTAAAATAAAATTTAGGAAACTACCTTACTGTAGATTTAGAAGTGTAAAATCTATTAATTATTAATTTCTTCTCTCAACCCACAGAGTTGCTAAGCTTCAGTCTATTCGGTATTCCAATGATGGGCGCCGACATCTGTGGGTTCCGCGGCGACACCTCTACCGAGCTCTGCAAGCGATGGATGCAACTCGGGGCCTTCTATCCATTCTCCAGGAACCATAATGATGATAGCTCTAAGGTAAGTCAAAGTCAGCACGTTTGGGTGTAGAAAATTTAAATTAATGAAATCTTTACAATTTCTATTCTGCCTTGTGCTCAAGCAGTCATCGGTAATCGCTCCCCACTTACTTAATTATGGAGCATATTTCCGATTTTAAAGACTACTTTTGTATGAACAAATGTTGTGGATTTTTCATAGTCGGGGATTAAGAAGTTAACAAGTTCATTAGATTATATTTATTGTTAGCAAAAGATTTAAATAATGTGCACTATGTAATGCAAAGATATACTTTATAATAGTAATTTTTGCCTTCATGATATCACTTTATAATGCCTAAAAATCCCTGTTCTTTGAAACTTCAAGAATTCTACTCTCAATGCTCTTTTCCACTTTACCACCACTAGTTTTTTACCACTTGCCTTTCATTTATGTTTAAAGAAATAAAATGTCCTACTGTAAGAATTATATTTAGAGCTCCTCTCGCTTGCGACTGCGATACAGGATTGTCCTAGTACAGGAATCTAATTATGTAAGATCAATTGTATGTACTTAAGATATATTTTTGTATTTTGCATTTTTGTTATTATGAATAAAGTTTTATTATTTATTTATAGTCTTTGAAACAGTCAGTAAGGGAACAGTTTGATAACATGTATTGACAATCCCTGTAGCCCCAAGACCCAGTGTCGCTGGGTGCGGAGGTAGTGGCGGCGTCCCGCGCGGCGCTCCGCCTGCGGTACTCGCTGCTGCCGTACTACTACGCCCTGTTCTGGAGGGCACACGTCTACGGGGATACTGTCGTCAGACCACTGTTCTTTGAGTGAGTACTAGTAATTGTATTTATATATTCTATAACTTGGACTTGGGACTGAGCCATAGTCTATCGTACTTTTTTACCATATTTTGTGTAATTTTTATGATGGAGCTTTAGTTTAAATATACCTACTCTTTACTCTTGAACAGTAAAATATTATTAGCTTGCAATATTTAATTTGGTAATTTTTATATCTGTCAATTGTCTGTATGACATGGATCAAGACTTGTGTATCAGTATCAAAAATCACAAACATTTCACCCCTATCGACGTATAAAACATAGTTAAACCATCTATTCGTCCCTCCCCAGAGCCCCCGAGCAGAGCAACCTGCACGCGATAGACAGTCAGTTCCTGGTGGGTCCGCACGTGATGGTGGCGGCCATCCTGCAGGCGGGCGCGGCCACGGCGCGCGCCGAGTTCCCCGGCCCGCAGAGCTGGTACAACATACTCGACGGACAGTTCATTGCCAGCGACAAGTCTTATGAACTCATGGAGAATGAAACTGTTTCAGTTAAGGTACGGTTTTATATCAAATTCTCTAATTTAGGATAACTTTCTATAAAAGTGAATAATCGCAATTAGGACTGTTAAAACTAAACTACATGTATGTAAGAAGTATGATCACTTCGAAACTTAATCTATACTAAACTTGTAAAGCAGAAATTTTGCGCAATTACAACTTCAACAGCTGTAGCCAAATGCCATTTAGCGCTTGTCTACATGTAGAATAGAAAACCAAATTATATGGAAATGACGTAAATTTTGACACTTGTTAGTGTCATCCCCATACATTTTGATTTCTACTCTCTGTAGACAAGCGCTAAAATGGCGTTTGGATAAAGGCCCTGATTGCGCAAAACATTCAAAATTACGCATCAACATCATCAATCTATTACTAGTAGGGGTCTAACACAGATTGATGGATTCTGCAAAATGTGACGTCACACTAGAGGGAGGAGGGTCTTACAAATGTGACTAGCTGTGACAAGGACGGGGGGAGGGGCAAAAAATCATGAAATTCGTGTGACGTAATTTATGGACGGCCCCTAAGAGGGGTTTACCATATTATCCACGGATGGACAAAAGGGGGCGCGAAAGCGGAGTTAGACCTTTGCGCATATTCGACTGCACGGTTGGTGCGATGGCTGGGCAACCGGCTGCCGTGCAACGTGTCGCGGGTTCGATTCCCGCACGGAACAACACTTTGTGCGATCCACAAATTGTTGTTTCGGGTCTGGGTGTCATTGTGTATGTGAACTTGTATGTTTGTAAATGCACCCACGACACAGGAGAAAATCCTAGTGTGGGGCAACGTTATCAACAAAAAAAAAATACAGATTATTTTATAATTAAGTTAAAAAAATCATCCCAGACATGTCATAAATCACAAATTTTTTCCTTCCTCAGGGCGGTGGTATAATCCCCATGCAGGAGCCGCCGACCCAAGGGCCAGTGACTACAACTAACACACGAAGCTCTCCGCTACAACTACTAGTTGTACCTGATAGAGATAATCAGGCTAAAGGAGAATTGTACTGGGATGATGGAGATAGCTTGAGTGAGTATTCAGTTTGTGTTGGCTTTTTGAGATTAGTTATTATGAAATTTTGCAATACCAATTGATAGAAATGTGGGGAAACTTTACATCAAAAATATTTTTTATACAAATAAGAAATCTGTTGGCCAAGAAGACCACTCGGCCAACGAGGCAGTCTCGTTGCCCCAAGTGCGACTGCCGGGCAAGGGGTCTCGGGTTCGATTCCCAGGTCGGACCAAGTATTACTGGGATTTTAAAAAATCTCAGTAGTAGCACGGAATCTAGAATTGTGCCCGGTATAGTCAATAGTCTTACCCCCCTATTACATGGGACTCGTAACATAAATAGTGAATAGTGGGTGTTACTTCTGTGTGCATCTCTGCCTACCCCTTCGGAGATAAAAGGCGTGATGTTATGTAAAGAAATCTTGTATTGCCTCTGAGACTGCTAATGAGAACTACAGTCTGTTAACAAATAGAGTTGGTATCAAACTATTGGACATATCATTTTTAGTTGCAGTGATTTGATATAGACGACCAGCTTTAACTCGTCGAGTACCGGTTTTGTAGACACAATTATAGAACAATAGGTTGCGGTCACCGGTGACCGCTTGGTGTTTGACAGTTTAATAGTGCAAAAATGATGATCTTTATTGAATACACACGTAACATATTGTATGCGTGTGACATAGATTTTGATCAATGATCTATTTTCACAGACTCCTACGAAGAACAGAAATACAGTCTCATAGAATTTACTCTAAACATCACGGAGATTCGTAGCACGGTGCAGTGGTGGGGATACGGCGTGCCATCGCTCAACAAGATCTCAGTACTCAACCAACCGCCGATCAAGATGGTCGCCGTCAACGACCAACCGTGCGTCAAACCGTGCGAGTACACGTACAACACACAAACAAAGGTACTTGAAATTACCGCCAATTTATCTCTAGACAAACCTTTTAACGTTAAATGGTATGAGAAGTTAAAGACCCCTAGTCCTAATTGGCGAAGCTGGATGGGCAGCAAGAATAACCCTTAATTTTGAAGTATACTTATTGTATTTTTACGGGGATGATATTTTGGTACTTTGTGCGTATGTGGTATGAGGATTTGACTAGTTTTGTTATGTTGTGAAAGCCTTTCTGATGAGAATGAAGGCCCATTAAAAATGGCAAGAAAGATTTAATATAGGGAATTGAACAAAATAAGGTTTGAAGGTAGTAATTTTGTTATTGTTAGTCAAATTTAATGGTAAGTACGACTTCTATTGTCAGACGGGCTTTTTCAACATAATATATAAAGTATAGACATTGTTTATGAAGATGTAATGTGTACCCTAAAGGTGTTTTTATAAGGATACTCCGATAAGTAAGCTGAGATAGAAATGTACAATTTACAATGGATGTTTTTAAAACTTAAATGCAAATAGCTAGTCGAAATGTAAACAGATGTACTAAAATACAAGTTTCTTTTACATTCAACGAAATCGAGACCGCGTTCGTAGCTCTGATTGGTTGGTTTATTGGAGCCAGCCAATCAGAGCGCTGAACGCGGTCTCGATCTCGTTGAATGTAAAACAAACTCATATTTTAGAAGCCCTCTAGATATTGCAATGTAGAAAATTACAAAATCACTTTTCAAGTTGAATTGAGACTACTTATGTAAGTACATATTGATAAAATATGCTATTACACCCCGTGTATTTAAAGTACACCCGCTTTCAACCAGTTTTAACCAATTATTTTGGTACAAAAATACGCCATTTTTTGTATTACGTCTTTTCTATTTATACCTAAATAAATATTACATACGATTGTACGTCTGTTACCCTGTACATATTTAACAATACTCAGCTTCGCTAAAAATCTTCAAAAATCTAAATTTTTTAATGATTTCGGAAAAGAGGTCACGCAATTTAAAGTTTTTGTAAGTATACCTATAAGATTGAATATTGATTGTCAGTTTTATTGTATTCAAAGAGAATTTAAGATTATGGAAAGCAAAGATCTCAAGAGAAAAGGCTTTTTATATAAATAATTATTAGGTCGACGTTTGGCCACTGACTAGGCCTGGTTTTAAGCGATATGAGGCCCAAATATAACACTGTTTGATTTTTTGTAATTCGTGTACTTGTGTACAATATTATCCTTTCAGCTTCATTTATTTTTACAATAATATAATTTTATAACTATGACTAACAACTGTGTTTCACGTATAATTGATATTAATAATAATCTCTACTGTAAACTTTTTACCAGACATATTTCTAGTTCATAAGATTTTATTGTAACTTTGACATATATAATACTAGCGACCCGCCCCGGCTTCGCACGGGTGCAATATGCATGTATTATACATACAAACCTTCCTTAAGAATCACTCTATCTATTAAAAAAAACCGCATCAAAATCCGTTGCGTAGTTTTAAAGATCTAAGCATACATACGGACATACAGCGAAAGCGACATTGTTTTTTACTATGTATTGATTAAGGGCTTAATATGAATTTGTTCAACAAGACCGCGTTCCACGCTCTTATTGGTTGGTTGATTGGAGCCGGCCAATTAGAACGCCGAACGTGGTCTAGTTAAGCGTAAAACAAACTGTACAGAGGCCTTAGTAGAAATTTGTTTTACTTTAAAAGTAATCGAAACGAGACCGCGTTCGACGCTCTGATTGGATGGTTCAATCAGAACTGGCCAATCAGAGCACCGAATGCGGTCTCATTAAACGTAAAAAAAAATCAAATTTGTACTAAGCCCTGTGTTAATCTATCCCTGGGCACAGTCCAAATACGTTAATCTATTGTCTATGATGTTAAAACTATTAAAATCTATTCTATTACTATGTTATGGGTAAAAATAATAATTGTAGGTTTTAAAAATTGCAAAATGTGTGTTTTATGTGTTTAGTGTAGATGTACTTATTACATTTTCCTAGCTAAAATTTATTCAATTCTTCTCTTATATCATCTGGTTTTATCGTACTCGTTTATTTATTTTATTATATCTTTTATATCTATTTAATTAAATCTACCTTCATCTTAATATTTCCAAAATATTATACATATTTTTAAAAACCCATTGTGTTTGACTAGATATTGGTTAAGTTATTTTAATTATGGTATTATTTAACAGTATCATGCAAATAAGTATTGTAATTTGATATTATAATAAAAAGGATTCAAAATGCTTCTAATCTACTTCAAAATGATATTATTGTATCAAAAAACCAAAATATGTGGGTAAGTTTAAAATTCAGTACTTATTAGTACCATGGATCGAATACTTATAGAAAATTATTTATTCTAAAAGGAATTGGTTCTACATCCCCTACTTACATATTAATGGGGATAAGGGGGCCCCATTTTGAAATTATCCACATATTTAACTATAGATAAAATCTATGTGTATGTCTAGTCATAAGGTATATATTTACACGTAAATAAAAGCTCAAATTGCATTGTATTCAGTGGTACCCAATGTTCAACCACATTATAAATAATAATCTCTGTAATAGATACCTTCAAAATAATTACGATTTAGATCTGTATGCATTTTTTTAATTCGATTGTACATTCACAGATCTTTTTTTGCTATTTTCGATGTAGGTAGTGTTATTTATATTTCAACTAGCGACCCGCCCCGGCTTCGCACGGGTGCAATATGCATGTATTATACATACAAACCTTCCTTAAGAATCACTCTATCTATTAAAAAAAACCGCATCAAAATCCGTTGCGTAGTTTTAAAGATCTAAGCATACATACGGACATACAGCGAAAGCGACTTTGTTTTATACTATGTATTGATGATATGTACTAGCACCAAAATTACAGCATTTATTTTTATCTGTAAGTTTTAATTGGTCTAGTATTTTATAAGGAATTTCACATAGTACATATAATTTGCCATATTTACTGATATGTGATAGTTTTTTTTGAAATTTTTGTGATAATTATGTTACATTTTTGGCATACAAAAAGTTATTGTGATAAAATATTAATTGCACTATTTGTGTGATTGATGCCAAAGTAGACATGTGTTTACCATTGATTTTTGTAGTTAAGATTGCACTAATAAAAATGATAACGCACAATATTTGTTTGTTGTTTTCATTTAAATCTTAAATTTGTAACAGAATTCATTATTGCACTAAAAAGGTAATAACACAACATACTAACATCTCTACTAACAGTTAATAAATAAATAAAGATTTTAAACAAGCAACTATGTGTCCGCACCCTTCTCTTTTTCATCTTTTTCTTTATTTTCAGCATCTACTTCGAGGAATTTATTATATTGTTCTTCGGTCATTAAGTTTTGTATTTCAGCAGCGTCTGTCATTTCAACTTTGAACAACCAGCCTTTGTCATAGTAGTTTGTGTTTATGAGCCCGGGTTTGCTTTCTACTTCAATATTCTTTTCCTTGATGATACCACTGACGGGTGAGTATATTTCACTGGCCGCCTTCACACTCTCAAGGGTTCCACATTCTTCTCCTTCGTTCACCATGGATTCTGGTTCAGGTAACTGTGCGAAGACAATGTCACCTAGAGATTCTTGAGCGTATTTGCTAATGCCTACAGTTCCAACACCTTTTTCGATTACAACCCATTCATGTCTGTCGGAGAACAGTCTTGGTCGTTTAGTACTGTATTGTTGGTTAAATTGAGTGCAAGTGTATTTTTGTTTGTTAGCTGACTGGAGTATGCAACTCTTTGTTATGTACTGTCTTGATATTTGTAGAACACATCTATGGAATGCCATTTTATCTGTGAACAATTACAAAAATATTAGTTGAGCTTCTGCTACATAACTCACAAAAGACTTCTTTGTAAGAAACAACCTCAACTCATGTCAAGTTATTTGGAATATTCTGATATGGTAAACAGTACTTTGATAAGTAAATGTAAAGAATGGTATGTAATTATTTAGATAGGTAAATTATTTATATTGTATACGGGCAAAAGGTCAATACAGTCAGCTTATCTTAAAATTTAAATGTATTCCAAAATAATAATAATGAGATTCACTCAAGCCGTAGGGTAGAAATTCATAGGAAGAATGTATCGAAATTATGTTTGAATTAAGACTGAAGGAGTGTAATTTCACAAACTGAATAATATAATTTGTTCATACTCTCTCATGTGGGTAGGTATTCGACCAAATACTATAGGCAAACTTTCAAGATGATTCTTACTTGAAACTTTGGTTATCGCTCGCCAACTTAAGTACTCAGAATTTTGGTTATTATTACAAAAAACAAACTTAACTCTGCACATGGTAGGATTTTATTTACCTGCCTAGAATTTGCAAAAATGTTGTTCAGTCTTATTTTTAAAAACCGGCTGATTTTGACCCAACAAAGACGTTAAGGTTATAAGTTTAAATATGGTAGAAAATAAATAAGATACCTTCTGTAAACAGATTTACGTTAATTTTTATCCACAATTTTAACACAAAAATAATTTGCACTATTTTTATAGACGATTTTTTATTTTTTTTTGAAATGAGACTGAAATTGACAATCTGTCACAATTCCAAAATTGACGTTTATTTGGTTTGTTTGATTGTTCGCTTTTTTATTTTTCACTAAAATGTTGGTATATTACAGATTACAAATAACAGCTATTTGTGCTCAAGAAATAGGGTAAGGCTAGGTTTGCTTTTTGTTTACAGATGGATTTACTATTTTAAAGTTGCAATTTTCAAAATTCAATTTCTGGACGACAACAGTTGTGTTGCCACTTTGTTTAATTAACGAATTTGGTTAACCACATAAATCCACAACAAACAACGAGGAAATAATTGATAGGAAATAATTGATAGCGTCAGATCTCCCATCTCATCGTTCTTTTAACGAATTAATGAACCACATTTTATGTGTCAGTCAGTTCTCAACAGGTAATAAAATTATTTTATATTCGAGTCAACCAGTTTTTTTTCTCCAATCAAGGTAACACTGGCTGTCAAATGATCTCAAAATCATACGTCACATAAACGTCATTATTCGCTTAGCCATGAGTGAAAGATGTCAAACGAAGCTTTCAGAGAAATTTGATAATAAAAATTATATTATTTATTTCGGTATTCTATGTACGTCGATTGCAGTTTTATATTTTTACAGGTAGTATTAATATTTTTCAATTTATTTGTGTACTCTGTGAGTTATATTGCAATGTTTGATAACTTTTTTCAGGTTTCACTTTGCCACAATAGCATTTAGCTATGTGTTGGGATGTCTGGCTTGTTATTACGGGCTCAATTCGAGTATTTTACAAGAATATATTGAAAAGTTAAAGTGCCATTTCGTCGGTGAGACGAGCAAGGATGAAGCGAAAGCGCCTGTCAAAGTGAGTGAGAATACCTTTTGTTTACTGTTTACTTGTAATAGGAAACTCGTTATTCACTATTGAGGTCATGTACGCCTCCTTGTTCATCATTTTAAATATTTGATAAGCAATTATCTTGAAAGCAATTATTGGAAACAATCAAGAAAACAACAAACTATTGTTTTATGTTTTTATTAAAGTTGTGGAACTTTATTGATCTTATTAATTAATCAACTTGTGCTCAGTGTCTATTTTCTAGTTCTATATCAAGGAATGTATTTAGTATGTAGGTAGAGCATAAAACTAGTTCCATCATCTAACTTTCTTAGTTAATCTACTTATCAGTTAACTATCTAGACCTTATCTGTATCTGTATTCAGATAGAAACTGGTTTAAAGATACTGGTTACTATTGAAGTAGTGTAAAATAGCCTTCGGCTTAAGAGACGCGAAAATCTTTGCTCTTAGTCCTAATTTTATTATTTATTTATCTTTTTATCATAAAGGTATCTTATTATATAAGCCCCACAAAACCGTTGCAATGGTCTGTGGGGTCAAGTACAATTAAATGTCCTTATAATTAAATATTATATAATTGCTGTAACTTACACTTATACAGGGTGTACTGGACATAGTACATCATACCGCAAGGGGCGATAGCTATTCTAATTAACTATAGTAATTACTTTAAGATGTCTGTCACCCTGTTGTAATACAAAGGAAGTGTGAAAGTCAGAGCCATTTAACGACTACTTCAACTATTCGTTTGTAATGATTTTTATCAAAAATAATAGCTAATGACTGGTTTAAGTAAACAATAAATAAACCTGAATATGGTGGTAACAATTAGAGTCCATTATAGTTGGTTTTGAGTCAAATATAATAATTTTTATTGAATAACTAGCGGACCTGGCACACTTCGTACCACTTCAAACATTTTTCTTACTGTTTCCCTGGACGTCCACAATTGCTTATTAAAATCTTACCACATTGGTTCCACTTTTCTCGAGTTTTAGCGAGACTAAATACTGGAAATTCTTTTTTATTTGTTTCATCATCATCATATCAGCCACAGGACGTCCACTGCTGAACATACGCCTCCCCCAATGACTTCCAGATAGGCCGGTTGGAAGCGACCTGCATCCAGTGGTTCCCTGCGACCTTAATGAGGTCATCTGTCTTATTTGTTTAGATATATTTAATTAATAATAAAACAAATTATTTCTCTTACTGTCAGCTGTTTCAAAGTACTTGAAATTACTTTTGTAGGTCAGTAATCAGTATATTATCAATATACCTACCATTATATTGTTTTACAACACATATCTGGTGTTTAATCCTTTATCTATATATGTGATAGATAAGATAGCTGGTGTAATTGATTTATTGGCATTCTACTCTATTTCCAAAGTCGTTAAGATTATGCAAATTAACATACATTATTCACTAGAGGACAGTAAACATTTATATTATAACTTTCGTGAGACATTCTAAATTAATCATTATGTTTTTCTTCTTACGCACGTAAATATTTGACAAAGAATAAACGTGTTCAGTAGATGGACGAATTACATGGAAAAGATTTTCATATTTTTAGACTTAAATTTTTTTGTGGTATATGTATAAGTAACTACATACAATTGATGTTAAAACATTAGAAATTATTTTTTTTCTGCTTATTCCCAAGTGTATGGGTATGATGTATGTTATAGTGTTTTATTAATTGTAAAATAAGACAATAATATACATTAAACCAATAAACTATAGAGATAAGTAGAAAAGAAGCGGAAGATTTCTACTGATTTAACTTTGAAGATTTATTTTGAACCTTACTTCACATTCATACATATTACAAAATACAGTACTGTTCAGTTCTATACTTTGCACCATTACTCATAATTTCTTGAATAAAGTGTAATTGACAGTTTCTTTGAAATTGCAAGGGAGCAAGTATGACTCATGTCGTGATCATACTAATACGATTATCCAAATTGTTCAAGTGCCTGATTAGTCATCACCAATTTTGTTTATTTTGCATGACTAATCGTTTTTCTTCAATGCTGTGAATAAAATGTACAATACAGTAAATAAGTAATTAACTAAATATTTGTATTTGCTAGGGCAGCCAAGCTTTAAATGGATATAATAAAATAAAAAAAAACGATGTATTCCTAGGAAAACCCTGTAAAAAATTCAGTTGAAGTTTCAAATAAATATGAAGTTAAATTCGTTTCTGAGATTAGTGTACTTTATAGTATAGTACTGGATACCTTTAATATTCTTACCTGTAACTGCAAATTTAAATACCTATTATTGTTCTTATTTCCAGGGTTGCGAGACGTGTGGGTCGAAAGACTGTGAAAGACATGACTCCAGCGTGGGCACAGACCCATGGGTGGGGCTACAAATACACAAACAGTTGGATCAAGCTATAGAGGATGTGAGTATATAGCTTCAAATATTTCAAAGATGTTGATATCTTAAAAAATATACTGATACTAGCTTTTCCCCGCGATTTCGTACGCGCAATCCCGTTTTCTCTCGTTCCCTTAGGATTTTCAGGACTTTTTCTGTCATAAGAACCTTCTCCTGACAATAACAAACACAACAAAAAAAAAAAATCAGCCAAATCGGTCTAGCCGTTCTCAAGTTATGGCGTGACAACGGGAAACGCGTTTAATTTTTATATAAGATGAAGGATAGTAATGAACCTTAGATCTAAGTGGGCAGCAGGTCAAGGTCATCATGTGTCTCGGGCGGCTAATTCAATCTTGTACGTGTTTTTTGACGATAGACGATATTGGGGCAGCATTTTTCAATTTTTTTTACCTTGTCTTGAAAAATATCTAGTCTAGCTACCCAAGACAATCAAAATAATCAATTTAGGAACATCATTACTGTTTTGTACACGACTGAAACAACTGGACTTTAGGACCCCCTTCAGTGCCAAGTAAGAAAATCATCGAAATGAATTCCATACTTGCAGTGGCGAAAAGATTACCTTGAACTTGTTGCACCTTCGCCAGATATATCTAGCGTCTAACATAACATAATTCAGACTATTTTAGACATCCTAATATCAAGTGTAACCATGCAAAAAGACGAATTTAGTATTATTTAACTCTAAAGACTAACTATTGAAGGTCAAGTTGTATTAAATAGCAGATAAGCGAAACAATAGCATGCCTCAACCAAAACAATTGACTATGAACTAGTGAGGTCATCTCTAATTCTGAATGCAATGACACTGGTATGTAATGTAATATTAGATTATGTAATTTGTGAAGTGAAGATTCATTCCTTAATTCTTTAAGAGTAATAATACACGTATAGAATATGGCTACGAAGTCGAGTAATTGTTTGACGAGGATACTCGATTAGTTTCAAGCCGTGCTAGGGACCTATAACCTTGAGCATATAGAGACGAGCTTCGCGGTCCTTTACTACCGAATTAGTTTAATTTGTCTTACGATATTTCGGTATTTATATTACAAGCAAAAACGATCTTAATAACTATTTTGGAAAGTTAACTAAAAATAACGTCAACAAAATAGACTGAGAAAAACTCTCCTAGTTTCAAGGCAAGGAGGAATTGCCTCTCTGCTCAGTACCTATATTCTTCCTCTTTATTAGTATATTAGGGTGAGTAAACAGTTATTTTTAGTTAATCCAGCATGTCCCACCATAGTTATTAGAAAGATATTGGAACGTGAATTTAATGAAAGAACACTTCTAGCGATGTACTCTTTCAGTGACTTACATAATAGTTGTTTTAAAATACCATGGTTTATGAAATGGCGACGTTTCTATAGTTTAATATTTCCTTCGAAACGAATGAGCATGCATAATATGGCTATCAGACTAATGTATCGTTTGAAAATTATAATATTCGTAGGTGTATGTGTACCTAATGTACTCATTTGACTAAAACATTTAAAAATATGTTGAGTAATTTATCTACTATATAAGAATAAGATTTTCCTTCCTGACGCTATAACTCCAGAACGCACGAACCGGTTTCCACGGCTTTGCGTTCGTTGGAAAGGTCTCGGGGTCCGTGAGGTTTATAGCAAGGATCCTTACTAATATTATAAATTGGAAAGTCAATTTGTTTGTTTGTTTGTTCCGCTTTCACGCCGTAACTACTAAATAGATTACTTTTAATTTTTGCAGACGTAAAGTTAGAAGTCTGGATTAAATAATAGGTAGTACTTTTTATCTCGGAAAAATTTAATATTCTCAAGGGAAAACTAAATAATTGGTATAAATGGCTCTGTGTGTATAGGTATATGTCACATAGGCTACTTTTTATCCTTTTGTGACGCGAGCGAAGCCGCGGGTAAAAGCTAGTATTACATAAAACGAAGCCATCTGGTGGCGAAACGGAGTTTGCCAGGTTTGCTAGTGTAAAATAAAAAAAAATGGGCATACATTATGTAGTCATACTCAAAACAGTAACCTCATGTCAGTCAGGCAATGGTTTTCATAAACTAGGGAATTAATTGGGAACTCCACTTTATTACTAACATAACACCACGCCTTTTATCACCGAAAGGGTAAGCAGAGGTGCACATTACAGCACTTAATGTTACTGTACAATGTAACACCCACTTGGCACTATTTATGTTATGAGTCCCATGTAATAGGGATTCAAATCAAAATTCCGTGCTACTACTGAGAATTAAAAAAAAAACCTTTTTTAATACTTTGCCAGACCCGAGACCGGCAGTCGCACTTGCAACCACTCGGCCAACGAAGCAGTCTATTCTAGTCCACTTTATTATAAGGTTTTAGAAATAATAGTGAACAAGTTAAATATAAAAGTGATTAGTATTTTCTACTATTTTTCATATAAAATGATAATTCGTCACCATTCGTTTCTGTCTTTAAGTGACGTGCTTTAAAAAAGAAACTTGTCAATACACTAATACACTAAACCCGATCTTCTGTTCTTCGTGTAATCGTATCCAATTGGCTAGTTTCCTAAGTTTAAAATAAATTGTTTCAACTTTTCAATGCAACAAATAATGAAAAAATAATCATACTCTCATTCATTTGACAATTTACCTACTTTTGAATTTTTTCTGACTAATTTTAAGGAAATAAGTATGCTATTTGACGCAGAAATATGATCACGTCATAAGTTGCGATCCAATACAAAATTCATAGAAAAGTATAGTTTTTGACATTTCAATAAAAGTATTGAATTTGACTACCTGTCGAGTACCGTATTAGAGTTAGCCAAATGAATCTTGTCTAGAGACAAAAGTCCTTCATTACATTTTCTCTCTTTAACAGTAAACACTATTGTTTGTCCATTCCAGTTCTACAACACGATATTGGATCAGTTTATAAATTCGTGGTACAGTAAGGTGACGCTGCAGCCGTTCTTCGTGGACGAGCTGCGGTACCAGCTCCGATATGCATCCGCTTGTCTGCTGCAGAGGGCTGTCAAGGTAAAATATTTATGGTATTCACTATATTAAAATCATTACATGTAATAACTTTTTAAAATAGCCTTTTAGGACAATTATTTAATCGATATAATTGAAAAGTGACAAAAAAATGTGTGGTTTTTCCTCGTGAGTCCCCAATCTAACAAATCCCCGAATCCCTAACAGTCTTCAAATTCCCAATGTCCAAAAGGCCGCAACGCACGTGTAATGCCTCTGGTGTTTAGTGTCCATGTGCGCCAATTCAAAGACAAAGTCAAAATAATTTATTTCAATTATATCAGAAAGGCACTTTGGAACGCCAACAAAAAAAAAGTTAAGCTGTTCGCTCATTCCAAGGTGTAGATTCCTATGGAGAAGAACGAGCAAGAAACTCCGGAGGTTACTCCTTACCATCAGGTGATCCGACTCATTTACAGCCTATTCCATAAGAAGAAAAGTCTAACATAGAATTTCAGTTAGACTTATGTACCTCTCTGTTATTTAGCTAATAAGGCAAAAGTTCTTTTTCATATTTGATGAACTGACGTTTGACCACTATCTCGCCTGGTGGTAAGCGATTATGTGGCCTACGATGGAGCACGTCGACCCATCAGCAAGGTTGCTGATGGGTCGACGTGCTAGTGTATAGGTATACACTCGGGCCTTGAAGACACCCAGGACTCTGGTATGTGTATTTTTCAATCTTTTTTCTATTCTAACATATCAATCTTCGCTTCCAGATAAACTACGCCAAATTTATAACGTCCCGGTTAGTACCGTGCGCGTTACGTCACTACTCAGTATGCGCGTCACGTCCGGGGGTGGCGCTAGATTCCAAGATGGCGCTACATCCGGCCGCCGCCAATAGGAACGCAGAACTTAAGTATTTAAGATGTATCACGAACGCCATAATGCCGTATTTATTGAAGAATAATGAGTTGCAAAATTCGTGAGTATTTTATTACTAGCTACTTATTTATTTTAACACATAACATAACATCACGCTTTTCATCCCCGATGGGGTATGCAGAGGTGCACATTACGGCACTTAATGCCACATTACAATGCTCACGTTTCACTATTTATATTATGGTCCCATGTAATAGGGGGTGAGCCTATTGCCATATACCGGGCACAATTCCAGACTCCATGCTACTACTGAGAAAAACCCAGTATTACTTTACCCGACTCGGGAATCGAACCCGAGACCCCTTGCCCGGCAGTGGCACTTGCGACCACTCGGCCAACGAGGCAGTCTCATTTATTTTTTAATCAAATCATTAGATTCTAATATTAGCCTGATAAATTTTATTATACTACGCCATGTCTACTTAAATTATATATATTATGCTGCTTAACTCGTCGAGTACCGGTTTTGTAGACACAATTATAGAACAATAGGTTGCGGTCACCGGTGACCGCTTGGTATTTGACAGTTTAAAGTATAGCAAAAAGTCACAAAAATATTTCTCAGTTCCTTAATAATTTGTATTAATCGTTCCAATGTATAGACAGACTCCTATGAATAAGAAAGAGTAAGAAACTATTTAGTTACTTTCTAAATAGTAGTTTGAAAAGATTTTTATAGATAACACAGGTCATTACACATTCGTATATAGTAACTGACGCCTTGTTAGCATACTTATAATACGTTTACAAGCCGCAAATTATCACTACTTAGTAGTTGCGAGTTGTTAAATGTGATAATTTCATTCAATATCTCAATATCCTTTTGTTTATACTATTTTGTAACTTGTGAACGAAAGAATTAATGAAATCACGACAGATGTTTTTACTAGACTAACTTTAATCATAGACAACAAATATCTATATAGGTAACATAACAGATGGAATTAAAAACTACAAAAAGCATAGATTATTTTGATATTATTTTAACAAGAATAAGGTATAATTTTAAAGTATCTATGTGTCTTGAGTTTTGATTTGAATTTTTGACATCTGTATACAAGATTGTTAGCAATTTTGCACAATATCAGTTATTTCACAAATAGCATGCCAAAATGTATGTTAGGTTCTGCTACATAAGGTTCAAATTCCCTTGTTCCAGTGTGTTTTGCGTGTTAATAAGAGAGATATTCGCTGGTTGGGTGCTATTGTCTCTAACTGACGTATTAGCCGACCCTTACATACTGAACACTCTTATAATATTAGCTACGGGAGATGAAACTATGGCTCAGTTGCCTTCTACGCCTAATTATAAGGTAAGTTGTATTTTAGTGAATATTAAGTGGCGTCATTGTTTGACGAGGAACTCGAGTAGTTTCAAGCCATATTCATGAACAGCATCCCTCCGTTTTTCATCATCATCCAATGTGTTCTCCCGCCCGAGTGACGCGAGAGGGAGTGTCACTCTTACTGACTAAAAACCACCCCGTTCTTACTTCGTATCGGCATCAGCCCTGTTGGGCCCCATCTGTGGTGGTCTGATGGCTCTTTGAGGCGCGCGCGGAACGCGACAGCAGCGTTCCGCTTAGGGTAGCTGTGCAGCTCATGAATATGAGCCTCTAGCATGGCTTGAAACTAGTCGAGTTCCTCGTCCAAACAGTAACGTGAGTAATCCGAAAACCTAATGCATAATTAATTTAGTTTGTCTTATATCAATATTAAGTGGATTCTTGGTGATTTTTTATGGGATAAGCCGGTAAACGTACAGATGAATCACCTGTCGGTAAGCAATCGGCGATGTCCATGGACACCCAAAACACTAGAGGCATTACAAGAACGTTGCCGGTCTTTTGGGGATTAAAAATTTGAAGATTGTTAGAGATTCGGGGATTAGAGGAAATGGGGAGGGTGTTCATTTAGTTAATGTTTACCCACCTCTAGACCTTGTCTATTTTACCACATTTTTCTTTATTCTTTTTGGACATCCTCCTTATCCATCTGTATTCAGAGATAAGATAAATTTTTATAACTTTTTTCTCTTCAAAACGTTACCCCACACTAGTTTAATCCTGTGTCGTGGGTACATTTACAAACGTACAAATTCACATACAAATGACACCCAGACCAAGATCAACAATTTGTGGATCACACGAAGAGTTGCTCCGTGCGGGAATCGAACCCGCTACACGTTGCGCGGCAGCCAGTTCCCCAGCCACCGCGCGAACCGTGCAATTAACTGTACAACTATTATGTTGTTTAAGTATAATACCATATTTTTCACTCACTAAGCATTGCCTTCTTCGTGCATAACAATGAATATTAATAATAATAATCATATTAAAATTATTAATGATATTAACCATACTTTTATAACCTCTTTTAGGTAGAATTCCTAGAAACCTTCGTCCGTCAGACGGAATCAATGTACAGTCAGCGCTGCAAGCTGCTGCGACTGGAGCTGGACCTGGTCATCAGCGACCAGGAACTGTTCTTCGCATTCATGCAATACATGAAGACCACAAGTCATCTACATCTGTTGCAGTTTTATAAGGACATCAGTGAGTATTTGGGTAAAAGATTGTAATAATATTATGATTTTTTTTTACATAGATAACATCACGCCTTTTATCCCTGAAGGTATCAACAACTAGTATAGTTTAAAAATAATAAAGTTTTTTTATGCGGTAAGCCGGTAAACGAGCAGACGGATCACCTGATGGTAAGCAATCGGCGTCACCCATGGACACCTGAAACTCCGGAGGCGTTACAAGTGCGTTACTGGCGTTATGGGATTAGGAATTTGAGGATTGTTGGGATTCAAGGATTGGGGAAAGGGGGGAGGGGTAATAAGGCCTTCGGTAACCTCACTCACACAACGAAACACAACGCGAGCGTTTCTTTACGTCGGTCTTCTGTGAGGCCTTGATATTCCTCCGGTCGAGCCGGCCCATTCGTGCCGAAGCAGGGCTCTCCCACACTTATTAGTAGTATTATGTATATTAATATTTAATCCCATGATGTATAATATTACAGAATTATTCCAAACAAAAATCCTGAACCCTGAGCTGAGCAGGTCGGAGGAGGAGTCCCTGCAGCGCGCGGCGCGCGTCCTGTACTCGCAGTACTTGGCGGACGGCCCGCCGCCCCTCGCCGCCGACCTGGCCGCAGACCTGCAGGCGCTGCTGCAGCAGGACAATACTATCAACAAGTATGTAAGGTTTTTATACTAAACTAGCCGACCCGACAGACGTTGTCCTGCATATTATGATGTTTCAAGCGATAAGAGTATCAAAAAAAGTATGAAAGGAAAGACCATTATAATAATAATTATTATTGTTAGTTTAGGTTAAATAACCTAGACACCGACTGCAGCGCCATCTGCCGGGCTGATTTCTGAATTTAATGCATCTAGGGCGTCACCCAAACGCAAACAAAAAAATTCATTAAAAACACCGACTTCAAAAACTAAAGACAAACGAAAAAGGAAAAAAATACTATTATTGGTCATACGTACTTATAGCTTACACACCCACTGATAGGTTAGAAGTCGGTATCATGAGTTAACCGCGATTTTTAATTAATTTAAGTAGTCTAGCAAATGAACAAACTGGTAATCTGATGGCAAGCAATGGGCGACTCTGATTATCGACCTGCATTATCAAAGGAATTACAAATGAAATGTCAGCTCTTTGGGGGTTAGAGATTTAGAGATTGGGGAAGGGAGGGCGAGGGCATATAAGGTCAAATACAACGCAGGTGTTGTTTCACGTCAGTCGTCTGTAAGGCCGTGGTATCACTCCGGTCGAGCCGGCCCATTCATGGTGAAGCATGACTCTTCTATGTTAAACCAATAAAATCCTCCACAGGACTTTTTGAACTTTTTTTATGGCATAAACCGGTAAACGAGCAGACGGATCACCTGATGGTAAGCAATCGGCGTCGCCCATAGACACTTGGATCACCAGAGGCGTTACAAGTGCGTTACCGGGTTTTTGGGGATTAGGAGTTTGAGAATCGTTGGGGATTCAGGGATTTGGGAGATTGTGGAGGGGGAGGGTAATTGGGCCTCCGGTAACCTCACTCACACGACGAAACTACGCAAGCGTTGCTTCACGTCGGTTTTCTGTGAGGCCGTGGTGTCATACCGGTCGAACCGGCCCATTCGTGCCGAAGCATGGCTCTCCCACACTTACACTAGAAACAAAAATTTCAAATTACATGTCGATCAATGAAGAGCTAAACTTCCCGTAAAAAATACGTGGTTCTATACTTACTCATAACTTAGTATTCTAATGTATTTTGTCCTCAGATTCCAAACCAGTCGAGCGTTGTACCAGGCGGCGCGACAATCTCATTCTGTATTAGAAAAATTGTGGCTGCCCAAGTTTCTGCATAGTGAAGAGGTAAGTTACGAAAATCATTTTCTGGTTCAAATAACTTGAGGTATACTTAGCAAGTATAAATAATAAAGTAATAAATTCTATTAAAATTTGACATTATGTTTGACAGTTCTACAAATTACTTATCGGGAGCAGATTGCCTACAGGATATCAGAAGCAAATGGTCAAAAAGTAAGTTGAATAGTAACCTTCTCCTTAAGTGAAGAAATTGACATGTACAAGTGCTGCCTAGTAGCCTATTTGTAGAAATTAATTCACTTTGTTTCAGTAAAAGCAGTTATTTGTTTCCAAAAAGCTGATATTAATTATTATTTTTACCGAATAAAAGGGAAACAGTTCAGTTTCGCTGTATAAAAATGTTATTTCGCATTACTTTTATCGTTCGAAACGCTTTAACAATTATTAAATATTTTTAGTTGTCTGAAATAAGAGTGCCTCGTTGGTTGAGCTGGGCAAGGGGTCTCGGGTTCGATTCCCGGGTAAGGCACACGATTACTGGATTTTTAAAACAATCTCAGTAATAGCACGGGGTCTGGAATCGTGCCCAGTATATGGCAATAGGCTCACTCCCTATTACATGGGACTCATAACATTAATAGTGAAAAGTTTTTTCACATTGTACAATGGCGTTAAGTGCCGTAATGTGCACCTCTGTCTACCCCTTCGAAGATAAAAGGCGTGATGTTATGTTAATGTAAATAGTTTTAATTATTAAAAACTAACTTCCGCGCGGTTTCACACGCTCTGCTCAGCTCCTATTGGTAGCGTGATGTTTTATAGCTTATAGCCTCGATAAATGCACTATCCAACACTAAAAGAATTATTCAAATCGGACTTGTAGTTACGGAGATTAGCGCGTTCAAACAAACAAACAAATTCTTCCGCTTTATATAATAGTGTAAGATATAAGATAAACTCTATTTAGATACTGGATATTTATAATTCAATTCTTCTTCTAGACCCCACGAGAGACTACTGAACCAGGCTTTAAAGTTAGGGCATCGTTTGAAAGGTGCTCTAAAACCCCAGACAGTTGACGGCCAAGTACTAGACTGTTACACCAACTGTGATGAGTCGGAAGGAGATGGAGTGGACAATATGGATATATTGAAGTATTTAGACAATTTAGCCGTCGAGGAATCTTTGAGAGGACACGATCTGAGCACTTACAAGGTCGTTTTGACTAACGTCGAGACGAAGTTGGTGAGTATTGCTTTACTTTTTGATCATGTTGAGGAACGTTTTGTTTTGATAATAATAATAATTCTTAATTCATATACTAATATCTAAATACATCAAGCTTTATCTCCTGAACTAGGCGTTGCCTGTATCTCAGGAGGCATTACCTTACCGTTACAATGAGAAAATATAATTAGATTATATCGATTTTAAGAACTAGTTTATTTAACACTGCCTCGTTGGCCGAGTGGTCGCAAGTGCGACTGCCTGGCAAGGGGTCTCGGGTTTTATTTTCGGGTTGGGCAAACTGTTTCTGGGTTTTGTAAAAAATTCTCTGTAGTAGCACGGAGTCTGGAAATGTGTCCGGTATATGGTATTAGGCTTTTACTTTGTACTGCATAGTGGCAATAGTATGTAACTCAGTTGAGTAAGTTTCTACGTTGGTTTTCTATAGCACTAGTGCGTGAACTAGAAAATACATCTCATGGAGTGGATTGTGCTGTGGCAAACATTATTTTCTATCTGCTATCGCATAGGTTTGTCGTAGTCGACAGTAGGGATTATCGTATTCTTGTTAAAAGGCTGGCAACGCACCTGTGTCCTCTCAAGTCCTCTGGTGTTGCGGGGGTCTGGTGATCTGGTGATCTGCCTAATAGATTGCGGCTCATTCCCTAAAAAAATGTCATTACGTTCCAGCAAGTCCCCCCCCGGCGCGGCGCGGTGCGCGTGTTCACACTGACGGTGCACCGCGCGGGGGGCGCCGCGCCCGCCGAGCTGTGGGCGCTGGACCGCTCCGAGCACGACTTCCATCTACTACGGAGCAAGCTGCACGAGTTCCACGGGGACGCGTTACTGCATGACCTGTCGCTGCCTTCTCGCAGGTAATGATTAAGTATATTGGTATCATGAAATAGACTAATAGACTATTTAAGCATAAGAAAAACGGTTACTGTCGCTTTGTTAAACATTTAAGACAATTCATAGGACTGTTATTTCCTGATAAAGTAACTATCCACTAAGAGATCGGAATGAAAATATTCAACCTTGTAATTACTAAATCGCCTTTATGGGTATGGCCAAAGCCAAACCACTGTTAGAAAGAAGTGCTACGTTCAGTAACTTTTTTCTGTTTTAAAATAACCTTCATTCTTTAAAAATAATAATACTGTAACTAATAATTAGACAAAGTAGATTTACTTTGGGAGAGCCATGCTTCGGCACGAATGAACCAGTTAGACCGCAGTGATACCACGGCCTCACAGAAAACCGCCGTGAAACAACGCTTACGTTGTTTATCGTCGTGTGTCTGAGATTACAATAAAGCCAATTATCCCCCCCTTCCCCAATCTCCAACAATCCTCAAATTCCTAATGACCCAAAAGGCCGGGAACGCACTTGTAATACTTCTGGTGTTCCGGGTGTCCATGGGCGACGCCGATTGCTTACCATCAAGTGACCAGTCAACTCGGTTACCGGCTTATCCCATAATAAAACAGATACAAGAAAGCTTACTACATCTTACAGGCTTTCCTCCAAAAAAAAAAAATTCTTTCATACTTCTCATAAGGACATCTCTACAAAAATAACCCCGTAACTAAACTACATCTATTTTCCTTTACAGAGACAACAGTCCCCTAGAAACTCTTCGATACAAATACGAGGACTTCCTCCAGAGACTACTCCAAAAAAGTTTACTCCAAACTAGTGAATTACTTCGGATATTCCTGACAGAAGACGGTGACTTCTCAATAGTAGTCCAGGCGTCCACCTTGAATGCTACTAGCTCAGACTTGGGCAATATTTATCAAAATGTTGCTTTGAGGCTAAGGAAGGAGAAAGGACAACATTTGGAGAGCTTCCTGAGGAATCTCTTGGTATCTTCTGATATTGAGCGGTATCAGGCTTTGTAAGTATTGTATCCTCGATATAGATTATGATGTTGGTTATATAAATTTTGATGGCACTGGGCGATATTTTCTCTGAGAGACCAAGCACATTAAGTAAATAAATAAAAAGAATAGTTTTGGCTATATCTTCAGAGTGAGATCCCTTAAGTCACTTGGGTCAGTGCAATATGTCTTTTTCCCCATGCGCCATGCGTATCATGCGTCTCACAAACCATCCATTGATCTCTTTAGAGATTAGTTAAGAGTACTAAGTAAAGAGCTTTCTTTGCGGATGCATGATACAGAGAGATATGGATATCCATCCATAATTAAACTAACAATCCTCTGTATCACTTCACCTTTCCCTAATGTCAAAGTAAAAACACTTTATTTAAATCACTATAGTTCATCACTGAAGCCACCTGACCCCGTCCCTTCTATCTCCAGGAAGCATGGGACAGCCCGCGACGTGGAGGAAGCACAAGAGATGAGTGAGGATGTGGCAGTCGAGGTCCAGTACAAACGACAACGCCGCGTCCGCAACATTCATACATCCGTGTTCCAGAATAATTTTGACGTTGAACCTGCATTGAGTAATGTTGATAAGGAGTACCAGACCTCTGTTGTTGGGTTTACGCAGTGTCTTATGTATTTGTGTGAGTATCAACTATAGTGTAGAATCGAAAAAAATATGCTCGTTGCTTTGCTATTTAAAAAAATGTCGTACGAAAATCATATATAAAAGAAAGAAGGAAAAGCAGACTATACGGTTGGTGCGGTGGCTGGGCAACTGGCTGTCGTGCTTCGTTTAGCGGGTTCGATTCCCGCACGGGGCAACTCTTTGTGTGATCCACAAATTGTTGTTTCGGGTTTGGGTGTCACGTGGTTGTGAAATTGTATGTTAGTAAACGCACTCGCGACCAGAGAAAAATCGAGTGCAGGGCAACGATTTAAAAAAAAATTCAAGACCCTGTTGTCGGCAAGAAATTCGAAATTAAATTGCTATGATTTTCCGTTAAGGGATCTTTGAGAAAAATCTCAAAAATCGAACTTCACTATTAGATAAATTGAATTCCGATCTCGACTCAACAGATAGCCAAAAATTAAAAGCATTTTTCTTAGAATAAAAAGGCTAACTTTAATTTTATATCTCGTTCCAGTAATAAAAGTGATAAAAGTAAGCAGTGTAGTGACCCGCGTGGTCGGGTCCATAGCGGCGCGGGCGCGGACCTTACTGGACGACGTGGTCCACGCTCTCTTGGACTCGACGCTGCGAGACTTGTTGAATGAGAGGAGGTTGGCGCATCTCATTAGGTTAGGACATGGTGAGTATCGATTTCTTGTTCTTCTTATGTTACATAACATCACGCTTTTTATCCCCGAAGGAGTAGACAGACGTGCACATTATGCCACTGTATCTACAATATAACACCCACTTTTCACTATTTATGTTATGAGTCTCATGTAATAGGGGGTGAGCCTATTGCCGTATACCGGCCACAATTCCAGACTCCGTGCTACTACAGAGATTTTTTTTTAAAACCCAGTAGTACTTTGCCCGACCCCGCAAACGAATCTGAGACCCCTTGCCCGGCAATTGCACTTGCGACCACTCGGCCAACATGGCAGTCTTCTTCTAATGTTGTAACACTAAAAAAGAAGTTTTAATGTTCTTCTTATGTTTTAATGCTGCGTGGTCTCCATAAATAACCCTGAGGCCTTAGTATGAGTTTTATTTCTGTTTAAAGTAATCGAAACGGGTACGCGTTCGACATTCTGATCGGTTAGTTCACTGGAACCGGCCAATCATATCGCTTCGATTACATTTCGTAAAACAAACTCGTTCTAAGCCCTCTGTTGCTCGCGACCTAGGGTGTGTGTGTTGAGAATTTCGGGAAATCTTTTCGTGGTATTAGTTTCACTCACTTAAGTCATTGAAATATCGTACCCTAAATTTGTTCATACAAAAATAGTCTCTAAACATTGGAAATAAGGTCCATAATGCAGTTAGTGGAAAGCGATCACCGAGGACCACTTACAGATTTAGCATTAAGGCAAAGTATGAAAAGGTTAAAAACAGTAATATTCATTTCCAAAATTTTTGTTAGTGTTATTTTATACATTTGACTTTTGATCGTATCAATATTTTAGTTCATATTTGTATATAAATTTCCATGTATATCTAACCAATATATGTTATATTCCCAGGCCTATTGTTCGGCAAGCGCTCGTCAGTCCCGCGCGTGTCCCCGGGCGCGCAGCGCGTGCTGGCGCGCGGCCAGCTGCAGCGCGCCCTGCCGCGCGCCGCGCCCCGCGCGCGGACCGCCGCACTCCACGCGTTCGACATCATACAGCTGCCACAGCTTAATAAACAGGTACTTATTACCATACATACCACGGAATATAGAATACAATGGAAGTAGCTTGAAACAATATTTCTGCCAGAACCGGTGTCGCCAAACTAATACATTTATAATTTACTCATACTATAAATCGGAAGTTACAATTGGTTAGAAAAAAAATGGGGCGTAAACGAAATGCAAACAAAATGTCATACGATATGCAACTTTAAAATCACTGAAATAAAAATCAAAATTAAAAATTATATTTTGGACTACCAAGTACCGCTATTCGTCGCTAGATGGCGTTTAACAATGCCATCTA